GGGTAGTTGGTGGGAGGAGGGTTTGTGTAGTTTGTGGAAGTTGGTTGAAGGAGGGATTGGGGTGGGAGGGGTAGTTGGTTGGAGGAGGGATTGGGGTGGGGGTGACAGTTGATGGGAGGAGGTACTGTGGGGGGGGGGTGATGGCCAGTTTGGTGGGAGGAGGGGCTGTAGGGGTGGCGGGCAAAAGATGGGAGGAGGAATTTCCATCAACGAAAACTCCGTAATCACTAGTGAACCGTTGCTTACCAAAGCAGTGAAAACCATCCATTGGGCAAACATAGCAAACAGAGCAATTATAGAAATAACCAGCACAATATCAGAAGTAAACAGCATCACATAATACCACTTGTCAGCTTTGAGCAACATGTCACATATCACACCAAGGGGTTCTATGTGCCGGCAATCTGAATAAACCAGTGTATGCGACCAAGCATTGTCAGCGGCTTCTTCAATCATAACACCCAGAGCTAGAACCATCACGATGAGAGTGCAACATATCCTCAGGTAGCTCTATGTAATAACATATATCAAACTCAATAATGCATGAGTAAATTCGCCAACCATTTTACTTTATTTTGCTCACATGATAATATTGGGATACCTGGTGAAGTATATTGATCCAGTCCTAGGATTGGATAATGTTTTAATTAAGTCTTATTATGATTAGTTAAAGTTTGGATCGAGTACTAAGATTTAAAAAAATTTTCATTGTACCTTATGAGCACATAAAGTTTTCACTAGAAAGACTTTTGATTAGGCTTTGGCCACTGAGACTGAATAAATTGTTCATCAAGTCATAGAACTGGATAAAGTTTTCATCATAATTCATGAGTATATTAGGCGACCTAGAGCTAAGGTCAATGCTATAACACGGTATGAAGGAGCCTTATTTACCAAGAATTCGTGATATCGTTTGAAGTGTTTGTTTACCGAGAGAACAAGAATGACTCCAGTAAGAATGGTCTATATAATAAGAAAATAAAAATCAGAATTTGGAGGAACGGCAAAGCTATAACAACTATGCTGAGTAATATATGAGCTTGAAGAAATTTTGCTTTTATAGCTTTAATATGCTTTTCATTACATTCGACGCAACTTGTGTTACAATACACCGTAGTTGTCCTTTGGGTTGCATCTTTTTCACAAGTTGTGGAATTATTATGCATGCCGACTAGACATCTAATATCCATAAAAAAGAAATCTTAATTAAACCTACTTCACCCTACAGTTACACCCCGCTAATAAATTTCTATAACAATACATGTTTTATTTAACCAAACGTGACCTACTCAAGGCTACACGTGTTTTGTAGCACTGCTTGCTGCTGAGTTAAACCAAGCTCAAACAGTGGAGTCTACTAAAACAGTACCTAAATTGCACCTAAAAAGAACATTCAGTTATAGTGGGGCTCAATTATGGAATCACATATCGATAGAGATAAGAAGTTCGGTATCTTAGGATTCATTTTGCAAAAAAGCTTTCTTCCTCGACCTTTGTTTTTAGAAATTAGGCGTCCTTGTATTTTTGAGGTGGTTGTATCCTTATCCGAAGTTTTCGCAAATTTTATAGACATTCTTAGACAGGAGAACAAAGCCAAATGGAACCTCAAGTGCGAATGAAATCAATCAATCAAACAAACAGATTATGTTATTTACTTTAGTAGAAGGCATTCCACAACAAAACCTGCGGAAGTTCTGCTCTTACTTTTTAGATAGTTGTGTGTCTTTCAATTCGCAGCTTTTTATACCGTTATATCACTTGCATGCAGTCAACAACGACTGATTTCCATACAATACCATATACAAGATATATGCATTGTTCACACAAGCACTGAATTCTGTTGGCGATTTCTCTCCTCCTGGGAAATGTGATCGAATGAACGACACTGCAGAAGATTTAGAATTGTTTACTTCTAAAACGCGAGTGGCTATACTCAGGTGTGCGAGTTCATTTATATGTATCCGTCTGTCAGAAACACAACATTGCTATAGTGTGAATCAGGCTTTAACGTCGGTTAAGCCTAGTTTCCATTTGGTCGTTAGTTGTCGCTGACACGACAAGCGGTAGATGTGAAATAGTCTAATATCAATAGTCTTTTTGTGTGTTATATGCAAATCAGTCTTAATGATTGCAGAGTTTTATAAAGTTTTGTTGACACTCTTTTACATCAGCCACTTGTCGTGCCAGCGACAACACTTGTCGTGCCAGCGACAACTAACGACCAAATGGAAACTAGGCTTTACTACGACTTTTTCAAAACAGTTGCGACCGATGTTATGTTAAATTAATAGAAAGCATGCTTCAAGCCAAACGAGGAGGAGAGTTCATTAAAGGCTAGTTTCCACTCAGGAAAATTATCCGTGGATTGGAACTATTTGGGGTCTGTTCATATGATCCCGCTTACCGGGACGTCTCGCTTACCGATGATCTCGCCGCCTATCTATTTTCCTATAAAATTTTGCATTGTGTTCATATGAGAAAGCGAGCTGGCCCGCTTGCCGAGATCTCGTTTGAATTTGCCGAGATCATAGGTAGGCGGGATGAAAATTTTTCCATATGAACACGCCAGCCCGCTTACCGGGATGAAGTGAAACAAGTCTTGCCGGTTTAATTTAACACTTTTTACTTGGTTTTATGTTTGTTTTGTAAACAAGTATTAAATAACCACCTGAAGCAATACTTTTTCTTGTAAATAAACGAAGAAAAACACTAAAATGGCTAAGTATTTGTGTTGCTTGACTGAAATGTAGAAGTTTTGCATACGCTAATTATAGAACTACAATGTAATTTCATCTCGGCAAGCGGGACGAAATACTCCATATGAACGCACGGAAATATTCGTCTCGGTAAGCGAGACGTCCCGGTAAGCGGGATCATATGAACAGGCCCTTGGAAGGGACAAGAAAATTTTTCTTTGTCTTGTGAGCTCTGGGTTGGAACTAATGACTTTAACACAAAGAAAAATGTTCTTGTCCGTTCCAATCCACGGATAATTTTCCTGAGTGGAAACTAGCCTTGAGAGTTGGCAGTCACAACACTGCACGCCGTGATCTGATGATAATGTCGCCTCAGTTGCATTTGAGAAGAGGACTGTCTTTCACTTCACCAAACACCATTGGTTTACTCCTGGTGCTCTAGTTTCCTCCCGTAGTAACATATGCCATATATAGAATATACTCCCTTCTTCGCCTCCAGGGAAGAAGATAAATATCAGTGTATCATGGAAATTTGAAATTTTTGTGTTTCCCACTCTCATATAATGCGGACAGAAAGCTTTCAAAATTCAACAGTCCAATATCACTCAAGAGTTGCTGCGCCTGTTTGAACACTATTTGTTTATTAGTGCATGCTCCTCATTGGGAATATGTTGCCCTCTACATCCATCATTCTCCACCACCTGCTTACAACTACTTCAGTTACACTGTGAATCAAGCACACAACTCGCCTACAACAACCTAGGTGTGAGTAGTATATGCCTGATTTACACAGTGCGACTCAAGTTGTAAGCAAGTTGTATGCGACCGTTTTAGGCGTGTTGTGTATATGAGCAGTATTAGACCACTGCATGCTGAAGGAGTCGCAGAGCTTAACGACAAACCCAAACTAGAACAGTGTGGTCCAAACCAATGTTCCACCAGAATCATTTTGTAAAGTGAAGATCGTATAGCTTACCGGTAATGCGGCCCAGTATTCACAATGATTTCTTCCAATGTCGAAGCCATAGGCGTAATCTTTCAATAGGTCCTCTACCATATAACTCGATGCAAACAACAAGATACCTAAACAGAATATCTTAATTCCCGCTAGACCAATGATCAGGTGGATTTTAGCCTGCAGTCCACTATATGCCATCCTTGAAACCAGTTCGATTGTAATGTATAGTAATGCTGAAGTTTCTGTCCGGTTGCGAACTGTACGTGCCGCGGTGTATTGAACTATGCTAATATTATGTTAGTGTTATAGTTTATAATGTTATTCACTAATTTTAATCTACGTATGTCTATAATGATAATATATGCATGCAAATGTCACGTGACATGATCAGAACTGGAACGCTACCTGCAACCGGAAATTTGAAGTCAAACTTTGAAAGCCAGTCCAAGTCTTTTCGCGCACGCGAAGGGCGCGGTTAACCATCAACAATGCTGAAGATAGCATTCCAGTTATATTACAATGACAACAGTGAGCTCTATGATATACCTGGAGTGAGGACCTCTTGCAGTCATTGGGCCGATGAGAAAAGTGAAGGCAATTAGCCATTCCGAAGTTGATGAGTGGACTGGGGACGAGTGTTAAAAATGCCCAAATTAAGAAATGAACCAAATCACTAAAAAGACCACCTCAAAATTAGTAAGCATACAAAGTTTGAAAACGTTTACATGAATACCCTTCGAATAATAAACTTTCGAAAATTGTGAAATTACTGATTAAAAAATTGTTTTTGGGACGCGCGTCCCAAAAACAAAAATTACAATACATTTCATAGTAAATATCGCGATTTTCGAAAGCATATTATTCGATGGCTATTCATGTAAACGTCAGGTGATCTTTTTAGTGATGGTTCATTTCTTAATTTGGGCACATTTTAACACTCGTCCCCAGTCCTCTCATCAACTTCGGAATGGCTAATATATAATTTCATTCTCACAAACAAGGCCAAGAATGTTGGTTGATGTTGGAACAACATGTTGACGCCGTTTGAACGGGCTTGTATATTTATTTATAGCAAAATTCTTATATATTTACAGAAAAACTCTTATATATGAATAGAAAAATTAAGAATATTGATCTCCGCCAATCACAGTACTAGAAGATAAGGGCGCTTTTATATATTTATTATTAACCAGCCTCAAGCACTGAGCTCTCTATATACTGGAGCGAGAACTCGAGTTCAAGCCAGAAAACAATGGAAAGAGGCTGGAACTAACGTCTTCAATTTCCGCCATCTTGGCCAGGAGTGTGCCGAAATTTTGACATCGATTTAAAGAATGCAAAGCATTTTTTAAGAAATTACAGCTACTGGGGCTACGTCTCAATGAGGGCCTTTCCCCCCACACAGTTACGCGTACATACTATTGTTCCCAGTAAACTGCGAAACGACCGTTTTTTTAGGCGCTTTGTCAGTGACAGTTTTGTCAATTACGAAGGACATATTTGTGTACCCTTGTGATCACAATTCGTTGCAAGCGGCGTGTGAAAAACTGCAAGTTTCAGTTTGACAATTCTGACAGTTAAATGGTTTCTAATTATATTGTCCAATCAGATGCGTAGTTTTGATTTAAAATTCAAAACTACGCATCTGATTGGACACTAAAATTAGAAATCATTTAACTGTCAGAATTGTCAAACTGAAACTTGCAGTTTTTCACATGCCGCTTGCAACGAATTGTGATCACGAGGTACACAAACATGTCCTTCGTAATTGACAAAACTGTCACTGACAAAGCGCCTAAAAAAACGGTCGTTTCGCAGTTTACTGGGAACAATAGTAAAGACCATGCTGTGTTGACTTTTATATGATGGAATATCGAGAATGTGAGAGGACATGACAAAGCAGGCAGATGCAGCTATTTCAACAAGAAGGACTTTTACTAATGATCGAAAGGGCCCAGCTCATCTGAAAATATTGCTTCACTACTGGGGGAAGCAAAGGGCCTACTGGGGTAAATGTCCCAGTAGTTGCATAGTATAGTAAAAAAGTGCCCTGACACTATGGTTTTATAAACTGACAACTTGGTTAGCGATACGGTCCATTAGAAAAAACTGGAATTAGGTGGGTGGGGGGTGGGGGTAGTATAAAAACTGTTTACGACCTTCAAAGCTATTAGACGTTATTGGCCGCCATCTTGGGTTCACTTTTCTTATAGGTCAAATGACTGACGTTCTTGCTCCAGTATATATAGAGTTCACTGGCTTTAAGAGAGCGTCTGTGTGCGTGCTATACGTGATTAAGTAAAATATCTTCTCCTTAAACTGGTTGCAATACCGCTTCATCTCCGTTTCGACATTCCCACAATGGTACATTTCTTTGAGGTTCTGAAGAAGTGGAAAATCTTTCGTATCTCTCGCTCATTTGCACGGAATGTTCTTGGATTTGAGATATTTTCTGCAAAGAAACAAAACATGAGAAAATTTACTCACCTACTATTAGTTCCATCGAATAAGATGCCAAAAATCTCTAAGCAGCATAAGCATGCACTGCACACGTGAAAACGCACAAGTTGTTACAGGTCTGCAAACAAGTTGTTACAAATCTGTTCACAAGCTGTCGACAACTTTTTCCGCACAACTTGTTCCCGGTTGTTGTAATACACGCGTAAAAACACACAGCTTGTTACAAGTCTGCAAACAAGTTGTTACAAGTCTGCAAACAAGCTGTCGACAAGTTGTGTTCGCACTACTTGTTCCCAGTTTGTTGTAACAAGTTTGAAACAAGCTGTTAACAACTTGTAACAAGCTTGATGGCATTATCAGCCTTGTTACAAGACTGTGCTAACAAGTTTGTTACAGTCATCGTATAACAAGGATGTTACAAGGTTGTCAACACAAGGTTGTAACAATCTTGTTATGTCAAGTATGTAACGGACTTGTCAGAACCACCTTGTAACAAGTCTGATAATTTCAACAAGGTTGTTACAAGTTGTCAACAAGTTGTTTCAAATCTGTTGACAACTTGTGACAAGCAGTGCGAATACATCTTGTTGTCGGTTTGTTGGCAGACTTGCTACAAGATCTGAGATTTGTATGTGTGTATGTTTGAAACAAGCTGTTAACAACTTGTAACACGCTTGATTAGTGATTACATTATCAGACTTAAGTTCTTTGAATGTTTGCATGGCGATAAAATATAATTGTTTTTGTTTGTGGAAACACCACGCAAATTTATTATTGCAAAGCTTTCGATCCGTAAGCCCGGATCATATTATTAGCACTGATGAAGATCCGGGCTTACGGATCGAAAGCTTTGCAGTAATAAATTTACGTGGTGTTTCCACAAACAAAAACAATTATTATCAGACTTGTTACAAGGTTGTTCTGACAAGTCTGATACGGTCATGATATAACAAGAATAGGGACCTTAAGCGAACAGGACTGCAACACGACGGCGACGACTGTTCACACAATGATATTCCTGAGCTCGTACAAAAGAAATGAAAATTAAAAGCCCCACGGGAGTTAGAGACGTTGTGTTAGGGCTTTTTACAACGGCAAACCAGAGATTTTCACGTCTCGTGTACAACGCAAACATGTCAAGACGCGACAAGTGAAACTACAAATTTGCTCAGCAGAAGCGTTTTTAACAATAAAGCCTTTGTTTTAATTTCTTCAAACTGAACTCAATTTATATACACATGTAGTGGATAATACACAACAACTCTTCTTCGCAATAATTTATTTGAAGAAGTTTGTTTTGGCTGTCGTCGTCGCGTTGCCGTCGTACATGCTTAAGGTTCCTATTGTTGCAAGGTTGACGACACAAGGTTGTAACAATATTGTTATATCATGACTGTATCGGACATGTTGGTACAACCTTGCAACAAGTCTGATAATATCAGCAAGGTTGTTACAAGTTGTTAACAGCTTGTTCTAAACTTGTTGACAACTTGAGACTAGCAGTGCGAACACAACTTGTTGACGGCTTGTTGGCAGACTTGCTACAAGATGTGAGATTCTTGCGTGTGTGCACGTGCCATCAACACCCTCATTATATTCATCCACTTAGATATTGAGCTCGGTGATACACCGTTCCTTACCAAAGCAGCGAAAAGTATCCAATCAGCGAACATAGCAAACAGAACAATGACGGACAAAATCAAAATAATATCAGCAGAAAACAGCATGACATAAAACATCTTGTCAGCCTTTCTTATGGCCACGCATGATTTCTTGAATCGCTTGTTATTAGTTTCATCAATTTTGTTGCAAAAGGTGCCGGCCAACGTGTGCGACGTGGCGTTAACTGCGGATTCCTCGACCACAACACCCAAAACCAGAACCATGACGATTAGAGTGCTGCATATCCTCAGGCAGTTCTATATTATAAAGATGGAATGAAGTCCAGGCTTGCATAAATTGTTTTTACTTGGAAGGACAAATGTCTGGCCAAGCCAAAAATTGGTCCGACATTTATCAATTTTTCTCGGACAACGGACAAAGTAAAATTTTTCATTTTTTAAAAAAAATTAAAAAACTCAATAATTCATGAAGAAAACACAAAGAAAAATCATAAGCATGTCGTATCTGTATATGTGATACAGATTCATGTTGATTTACGTATTAAATCTTTAACTTTGATTTTCTCGGCTTAGACACGTTACCTTTATTTTTAAAATTACTTCGCCAATGAACTCATAAGATGAGTCGTTTTATCCGATACAACACGTCCGCTCATGTTGTAAATAGTACTGAGGTAATAACTTCCAAAGAGCCTTCGGAATGTGAAAGAGACTTACCAAATGTTTGCGATATTGTTTGAAATGTCTGTCTACCGAGAGAACGAGAATAGCTCCAGTAAGAATGGTCTATGTGTGAAAATAAGGGGAAAAAGAATTACAGTTATGTTGCATATCATGCGCAGCAGGGATCACGATGGATAATTGTGCAATACTGCCACGCTCCCCCACCCCTCCCCCATCTCATTGATATATCAATGCCCCATCTGCTATAAGTACTGTGTAAATTTCGCCATTCCTCACCAACATAAAACCCAGAGGACCTTGTGCTGCATTTTTCGCAGTCGTTCCTGGTTAGGTCTTAAAATGTATATATACTCACTTGGATTACAAACCCTGACATTCTAATGTCTATAGTGTAGCCTGCGAACAGGTGAACTCTGGGCACGAGATTGGATGTTTATCTAAAAATCACAACGTGACTGGACGATGGCAAGCTGTTATAGACATTTGATATACATAGACTAGCATAACACTGACATAACATCAGTGTTGCAATATTGTTACATTCAATACCACTAAGATTGCATCATGCAGACTTCAAAGAGCTCCCGGGTATGTTTATTTCAATAACATGTATTGTCAACCAAATTTGTAATTACCGGTGTACCTACAGTAACGCACAGTGGGACTTCACAAAGATTTCTTTCTACATCGCTACTAGCTGTCTACCGTATCTACCGTATATGCAAAAAAATGTTACATTTTGTCCAAAAAACTCTACCCAAAGGACAATTACTTTCACTAAAATTTATTTGACTCGGCCCTTCCATGAAATTTTCGGATTGACAGGAATGCAACTACCTCAAAAATACAAGAAGAACGTCGACGATTCGAACGAAAGGCTTTTGGTTGTGGTTGACGAGGAGCCTTTAATTTGCTCGAAACGGAGTTGAAGTTCAGCTTATATTTTCAGGTCATTGTGGCAGTTGCATCATTGAAAAAGATGGATAGCTCAATAGTTAGAGCGCTCTAATCAACTTCGAATTCTAAGTCCCCATATATAGGCGAGTTTTCCTTGACAAGTTTCCCTTGACAAGTTTTATTGGTCGTGTGCACGGAATGTTGTTAAACCGATCTATCTCACGCCAAGACCGCGTTTTGTTTGACAAAACCATATATAGACGTTTTCCTTGGCGGCCGTACACACATAAACAAATTTCCCTTGTCCAACAGCTGGCATGACTATCTTTGGAACATGGCTCCTTGCGGCAAGGAAAAATTGTCAATTTTTTGCCGTCGCACACGAGCAAATAAAACTTGTCAAGGGAAACTTGTCCGTCCGTATGGGCCTTCACAGTTGAGGCCCGGTGAAAGGAGAATGGGAGATGGCAAGACGAACAAAATAAAGGTTTGATAGTGTTCTAAGAATGTTTTAACTTGAATACGATATTGCTGGGAAAGCATTAAGAACAGCCAACAAAGATCGCGTGACTGCCACTCTCCTTGCACTCTCATCGTCGTTTCATCTGCGCTTATACCAGAGAAATCATGCAAATGCAGTACGAGACAGTGTAAGAACTGATAGAGATCCTCATCTTACCGGCAATGCTGCCCAGTATTCGCAATGATTTCTTCCAAAATCTGCATCAATGATGGTATCTTTCAACAGGTCTTCTACCAAATAACTCGATGCAAATAATAAGATACCTGAACAGAATATCGCAAACCCTGCTAAACCAATTATAAAACGAATTCTATTCTGTAGATTGTATGCCATCTTTGAGACAGTTCGAGTCGTTTATGCTGTGAATGTTTAATCTGTATTTCAACGCACGCTTGAAAGCAATCGTCATAAATATATCAATAGTCTGACGAACTACAAAACAATATGCAAATACACAAGCGGCTTATTTGCTACTTGATATATAGTGAAACTTCTGGAAAAAAGTTAATTCCTCATGAATTCTTCTTTTAAAAATCCAGCGAAAAAAAAAAGCATGATTTGGATCGCCATCGATTTATAAATGCAGTTACTTTATATATACGTCTTATACGATATCTTATACTAGTATGGATATGACTTTCCATTGAGTTTCGAAAGAGTAATTACTTCCTAATAAGTAACTCTTTTGCCATAAACAAACAAGAATGACTGGTGTAGAAGAGCACTTTAAGTCAATACAATTAGAATATTTAGCTGAGCTTCGATTTTGTGCAAAGTGTTTTCATATTCAAATTGCATTTTTCCTACCTCCTGAACACATGTCTTATAGGGGTGCTTTATGTGCTTATGTGATGGAAGGTGGGGGGAGGCAGCACTTTCCTTGCGATAGTAATTTCTAGTAAGTATTCTCTAGTTATAATCACTCCGCGTATTTTCAGTTCTATAAAATGTTGTATGAGAAAGATCGTGACTCAGTCTTTACGACCGTTACCATCATCGGAAACCAGGCTTCAATAACTTAAAAACTCGCACTTTTATCATTGATTATGACTACGATACCGGCAGAGTTTGAAAAAAATGTGAAACCGTAACGCTAACCTTAAGAGTTTGAAAACGATATGCAAACCGTAAGAGTTTGAAAACGGATCGAAATTCTACCGTCAGAGTGCCGTGTGAACGTCCAACCGTAAGAATTTCATTACGGTTATGCAAAATGAAATTAACGAAACTGCAAAAGTTGTTGTTGAATATTTTATTCTTTCTATTTTAACTGATTTGTGCAGCATATTGTCAAAGCGGAATATAATCTGCCGGTGTCGTGTGAACAGTTGAAACCGTGATGATTTTCTGCCGGCAGAATTCCATGCCGGTATCGTGTGAACGGGGTCTAAATGACTTTTGATAATGCTCGCAAGTATTGCAACATGACTAATCAATATTGGGCGCTTTCCATTTAAGAGGGTCGTAAAGGGGGTCCCAATCCCATTTCCCACCTGAAGTTTTGGCAAAATCCCAGTCCCAGTTGGATTTTTATTAGAATTCCCAGTCCCAGTTATTGAAATCCCAGTCTATAAAAAACCCATTATTTATCGGTAGAATAAACAGTTTTAAGACCTTTTAAGCAAGTGGTGGACACTTTATGAAATATTAGGGGCGGCTCGTGCCGAAGGCACGGAAAATTTTTCAATTTGAATCCCGGAAATGGCATTTGCAGCATTCTGAGACACGCATAATCAGAAAACCCAGAATTCCGGGTGCCAGAGTATGCCTGTTCGCAGGTGATGCTGTGAATAATATAGTTAACAACAAAAGTTATGGCCAAAGACACCAAAAACGGATCAAAATTGTATTTTAAAATACTCAAAACGCAGAAAAATTGGGAATCGACTCACATTACCTCGATCCCATTCCCATTTTTGAGGACTTCATTTCCCATTCCCAGTGGCCAAATTCCAGTCCCAGCAACCCAAATCCCATTTTCCCAGTCTAAAAATAGATCAATCCCAGTTCCCATTTTACCCCTTCAGGGCCCTCATTTTATGGCCTGACCGGTCAGACCCGAATTCTTTTCTCTGTATCAATGGAAAGATCTGGTCTATGTTTCTCAAATATCTAGCGAAAATGGACCTCATTCAAATGTTATCTAAATTTTCCGGTCAGATAGGTCCGAAGCCCAAATGTTTTGTGTTCCATTCAACAATTTCACCGGTCTGGCCGTGTTAATGGAAAGCGCCCATTGTTTCTCTAACATGACTTATTTGTGTAAATATTTATTATTTAATATTTTATAGTTTTATATAAAACGATCTCTTGAAAAGCAGCAAACGCTGAAGGGCCGTAGTATATAGACCAGTGGGATAGTTCCATTTTCGGAAGATCGATACGCGTGTAAACTAAACTAAACTAAACTAAACAGCTTTTAGCATTTACACTGGGTGTAATGGTATTGTACTCTGATCGTGATGGGAATTTCAAGTCCGCTGGTATCTCTCTGTAGGCACAGCAACATAATATCTTTCCTGCTGCGGTGGAGGAATTTCATGATCATGTGCCGCGTGTTCGTTGCGTTGTAGGGTTTTCTGAAAATACACAAACATTTTCAAAATTCGACACTGCACAATTTAGTAATTTACATTTAACAAATATAAAACATTTTCCGTGTTGATATACAGTTATATCAACACGAGTGGAACTGGGAAAACGAGAAATTGTATGGAAACACGACGCCCGAAGGGCGGAGTGTTTTAATACAATTTCGAGTTTTCCCAACTTCCGCGAATGTTGAAATAACTATATATCAATACGGAAAAAATGTTTTATATTTTTTTTATAATATAGCAATGTCAAAAGCCCGAAGGATAAGAAATATTTCCGTGTTTACAAGCGGCGGAAAATTTCCCGTGTTGACATTGAGTTACCGTATTTACTCCTTTGAGTGCCGCGGCGCTCTTTAAATTTTCAGAGCTTCAGATGCGGCGCTCATTCGGGGGCGGCGCTCTTTAAAAATATTTTATTTGTGAATTATAACAAGAACTTTTAACAATGAAATAAACAAGTATTAAATGTCTTCGTCACTAAATGTCTCCATTTTCACGGTGGAAAGTTTTTACACTGTTTAGTGCGGCGCTCATTCGGGGGCGGCGCTCTTTAAAAAAATTTGATCTCAAATGCGGCGCTTATTCGGGGGCGGCGCTCAATCGAGGGCGGCGCTCAATCGAGTAAATACGGTATATCAACACGGCTCTTATCCAATCAGCGTTCAGAATTTACAAATGCTATATTATAATCAATTTTATTGGATAAAATTTCTTATTTTCTGCATGTGACCACTGGGAGACACGAAACATTTTCTGTCAGCTTTCGCAAGCCAAAATTTTCGACACTATAACCCTCGTATTGGGTGTCTTTGGAAGAACAATTTAGAACTGATATACAGTTATCCGATGTATGCGTTATTATTTACAACATTTCGCGGCCATGTTGTATCAGATATACAAACTCCAATACAACACGGACATGAATGTTGTAAATGGTTTGTGAAACGTCTTATCAGAACGAATGCTCTTCAAGAATTTCAAATAAATGAATGATATTATTTGAACTTAAAATTTTTCTAATGACTTCACAAAAATATATATACAGTTACTTTATCAGTTTTGACTTCAGTGCCTGTAAAATAGGAACATCCATAAAACTAACATAATTCGTACCGGTGCAACAAACAGAATCCAATCTGCCAACAGTAGGAGGACGACGATGAAACACAACACCAACACAATATCAGTTATGAATACCAACGTAAAATACCAGCGATATGCTTCTTTAAATTTGGCACAATCGTGATTGATATTGAGCTCGTGTCGTTCGTTAGAATCTCCGCAGGTTGATTCATCTTCTTTGAAAAATCGATGTATAGCTGTAGCTTCGAATCCTTCTACTATAATTACTCCCTGTGCTAGGACCATTGTAATCAGCACACAGCAAAGGCTGATGTATTTCTGGAAAATAATTTGACCTATAACCAGGCTAAACACTATATTCTTGGAAACTCGTAAAACAACTTAACACTATCTTCTTGGAAACTGCTGTGGAATTGATTGGTCTTGGAATTATGAAACTGTTCGCATGCACTTTCTTTATTTCTATTTTTTAAAACAATCTTTTGTGAGGAAGTCTTATCATCAAAGATGATTTCCATGAGGGTCCTCAAATAAGAAGGAAAGAATTATTTACATAAACATATCATTATTGCTATCTTTACTCCAAACAGTACATGCACTATCGTAGGAAGCAAATTGCTGAGTAGTTAGGCCATTTATTAGGTCATTATTTCTCAAACTTTACAGATTATATACCGCTTGTTTAGAATTATTGGGGGGGCTGAAGCCCTCCCCCTGTTGCTACGGCCTTGCAGTATACAGCACCACTTGTCCCAGTTGTTGACAAGCCTTCAACAAGTTGTTGTTATCTTGTAACAAGGTCGCGATGAGGTCAACAGACTCTACCAAGTTGTTCCAACAAATCTGATATCGGCTGCACGTCAGCACGTAACAAGTTGCCGGTTAACAAGTGGATAACAACAAGCTCGTAGCAACTTGTTACGGACAGCCTTTCTTAATCTTGTTAGAACAACTTGTAGCAAGTCTGTTACCGTCATCAACCGTGTAACAAGGCGGCGATAACAACTTGTTTCAAACTTGTCACAACAAATGGGAACAAGCAGTGCCAACACATCCTGATATCGGCCTCACAACAACATTGTTATACAAGATCTGGAACAGCTTTTTATACGTGCCTAGTCGACCAGTATTTGTAGGTACTGGCAATAATTATATATAGGTATTTATTTGTGAAAAAAATCTTAGGGCTTACCAAGAACTGGCGTTTATTTAAGCGCGCTGTCAGGACCAAAACACCTCCTGTAAGAATTGTCTAAATTAAGAAAAAAATGTATCCAATGGGTGGTATTCCAGCTATAGATATATGTTGTAAGATGATGAACTGTGAAGTTTGCAAATTCTGTATATATTTGTATTACGCGCGGTAAAAATAACCACTTTCGTCTCAAAAATGGTTATTTTTCACGCGCGCAATACAAATATATACAAAATTTGCGAACTTCACAAGGCTAAGTTTTCCTCATTTTACAACAATTCGCAACCAAACTTCGCAATTTTACTCATTTTAAGATGCTCTTTCCAGCTATGGTAATGGTTTTCGTTCTTCTTGTCCAGATCAAAATTTCGTCTGTAGGGGCCTATAGCTGGGAATCATGCATTACTGAGCATACCCCGTCCCGTCAATCAAGCACCGCATGTTTATTGTTTCAGTTGAAGCGCAGCGCATGTTAAAAATGTCCTCAGCACTGTCGTGTACGATTCGTATTTAATCGAATAAGTTCGCGTCAAGTAGTTGCATTTGAAATTTCTTTGTATTGTATAAACTGAACGAAGAGGAAGTCATGGTGTCAGCACTAGCAGTATTTTGCACACGTAACTTGGAATACGGAATCGCACACGACCATTGTTCAATGTACACGACAAATTGCACTGCGTCACAGATTAAAAAGTAGAAGTGTTTCTTGTACACTTGTAAAGTTTTCCTTGACGACCGCACACACGAAGCTTTGAAAGTTGGAGCAAGGCTCTTTGGCAAAGAAAAATAATGCTGAAACAACCGCGTATGTCGAACAGCCAGTTTAATTAAGCAGCAATATATACAGTAACTACATCGTATAATGTTCCTAGCAACGCTCAGAATCAGAAAAACACCGCGATTGAAATGTGATTAGATTACTTAACTGAGACAGCTTTGTGATTACAAATAGTGCAAAGTCTTACTGGTATTCCAGCCCAATATTGACAAGTGTTAGACCCAAAACCAGTAAAACGTTTCAACTCTCCAGTTAGGATATTTCTTATCTTCAGGGCTGATGCCAAGATGAAAATACCAAAACAAAACACCAAGAAGCCCGCCAGACCGATAAGAAAATGCAGCCTTGTTCGAAGGTAGTTAGCCATACTTGTGTCTTTCTATGACTAAGTAATGATTTCTCAATTGTGTATAAACACTGTATACTTATCTCGATAGATATTTGATACAGTAGGTCAGAGCAGTAGGCAAGGTTATTCTAACTGTGTTGAGCAATTGCGACTGAATTGTTTAATTAAACGAGTGTTTTTGAACCAATCAACATACGTTATAATCGGTGTTGACAGTAGGGTGGAAATTTCGAGTATAAGTTTATTTACAATTTGCAGGTGTGAAAAATGTAACTAGGCATGGTGGAAAAGTCGGAGTACGGAGTCTGTCGAAGAATTAGCCATTTCCCAATCGTGCAGAGGACCAACCTCGTTCCCAGGATCTGGCAGAGGACTGGGTCTAGATGATGTTTGGAGGGACAATTGGAGGGACAAGAACATTCTCGTACCCAGAGCCCTTACGCGCGGTGCGACGAGGGGCCCTGGCCAAATCCATATTCCAAACTGGCGTCTGATTGGCTAGTTCTAACACCGGACATTGTTTTCTTACCATGTTTTTATGGTATCCGGTTATGGATTTGGCCAGAGCCTCTCGTCTCACCGCGCGTAAGAAGGGCTCTGGGTACGAGAATGGGACAAGAAGTTATAGTGAGCGAGCTAAATATATATATATATATATATATTAAAAGATGTCTTATTATCGTTGTTGCGTTTCAAGCTGCACAAATAACTTTAGGAGTGTAGAAAAACTTCCTAGATGCCATATTCGGTGGTTTTAAGTCCCTCCAAACAAGCGACTAGACCCAGTCCTCTGCTCGATTGGGAAATGGCGAATTGTTTATTTTGCCTAGAGATTTGAGTTTAACCAGACTCCGCAAAAGTGGAAAACGCGGAGTGTGGTTAAAATCGAATCTTTAGGCAAAATAAACATTTTTTGACAGACTCCGCACTCCGCGTCTTTTCCGCCATGCACTACAGTTCTCGATTCCAGTGTTTAATAGGAATCGATCCTGCGGCCCCTGCGATTCCGATACAGCGCTCTAATGAGCAACGGAGGTCAGTTGTATAGAGCTCGACATGTGCGCGGCACAATTTTGTACTGCTGTGATGTCACGCTTTCATATCTCATTCCGCATTCCAGCTATACACCGAATATACCTTTGCCTGAACCAAATTATTTTATCGATTGTTAAAGGTTTTCCATATGTATTCTTGGCATGGTGGAATTATCGCTTTACAGACGAAAGCCTCTCACAGTAAGTTTCTGTTTATTTAGGTGAAATTTGATGATAGGTAAAAAATATCATGTTCTGGTTTCCGGACTGACCCTCTCTTTTTCTGCCAACGCTAATGTGTTCTGGATGCGATTGGGTTGTTTGTTCACCTACCAACCGTATTTTATTTATTTATTACTGACTCAGTTTATTAATTTTTATTAACTATAATTTATTAATTTATTTACTTATTAAAGATGATGTCCACTCCTGTGCACATGCGCGAACTTTGTTTACGTTTTGAATTGCTATATTATTTTGTAAAATATGATACGCTAACTGAATATCTAACACTTTTCTGGTTCGCTATACTTGTAAATGAATTTCAAACACTAATTAATAATTCATAAGGTTATTGACAAATCATGTTAACCATAATATGTCACGTGCAGGGGCTTTAAACATGATAAAACACTCCTAATTAGTATTCTTTATATAAAGAATACTAATAAGGCAGTATCTATTGTAGTCGTGTCCTCATTAGTATTTTTTATATAAAGAATACTACTAAGGCGGGTATATCTATTGAATTTGTATAGTCGTGTTTGAAGCCGTTTAATAAACTCGCAGGTCATGTTTTATTATGTCTAAAGCCACTCGCGCTGTGCGCTCGTGCCTTTAAACCTAATAAAACACTCCTGCTCGTTTATTAAACAGTACATAAACTGAACGTTTCAATTCAAAAAAGTTTCGAAAGATGAAAAATTTGGGCAATGTTTATATCTGGGGGTCCCCCTTTGTTATGAGCAGAACTGATGAGCAGAACTGATGCGCAGAACGGAGTGAACATCATCTTTAACCATCATCATATGTATATACAGTGACTGGCTAAGAAACCACAACAGCTTTTGCCAATTACTGTGACCCCAATAGTACAGTCGTACAGAAACAATTTACAAAGTACAATACTTGGACAATAGTCATTTACAGAAAGTCTATAGAAGCAACGTGCTCGAAGAGGACTGCAGTTGACCGGCCAGACTTTGGACTGGATTAAAACTAATGGCACCTAACTTTAAGTCGTGATTTATAGGTGTGAGATGTCATGTATTTCATAAAAATAGCGAAAGTTTGAACGCTTCAAGCATCCATCAAGTGCTTTGTATATAGACCAGTGGGATAGTTTTCTAAAGATTCATACGTGTGTAAATTAACTAAACTAAACAGCTTTTAGCATTTACACTGGATGCAATGGTATTGTACTCTGATTTACATTGGATGCAGTGGTATTGTACTCTGATCGTGTTGAGAATTCCAAGTTCGCTGGTATCGCTCTGTTGGCATAGCAACATAATATCTTTCCTGCTGCGGTGGAGGAATTTCATGTACCGCTTGTTCGTTGCGTTGTAGCGTTTTCTGAAAATGCACAAACATTTTTAAAATTCGATACTGCACAATTCACATTCAATCTTATTGTCAGGGTTGGATAAAATGTTTTATTTTCTGCATGTGACCAATGGGAGACACGAAAAATTATCTGTCAGATTTTGACAGAAAAATTTAGCCACCTTTATACATTTTACAACCAGTCAGGATGACAGTTTTAAATGGGAATGGTGACTGGGCGTCTTTGGAAGAACAATTTAGAACTGATACAGCTATCCAATGTAATATGTATAGAGCGTTTGCACTCATTCCCCAGGGATCAACTCAACAAAAGCCTTGGCGGCCATGTTGGTGTTCCAGACAAAAGAGTCTAATTAAAATTCTTTTGAATTGGAACACTGTGACGTCAAGTGCAAACGTTCTATGGTACTTAACTATTTACAACACCATCGGCTGTGTCTGATACAACATGTATATGTATATGTACAGTTACTTCATCAGTTTTGACTTAAGTGCCTGTCAAAATATGAACAACTATAAAACTAACATATTTCGTACCGGTGCAACAAACAAAATCCAATCTGCAAACAGTAGAAGCACGACGATGACACACAACACCAACACAATATCAGTTATGAATATCAACGTAAAGGACAAGCGATATGCTTCTTTGAATTTAACACATTCCAACCTGTGTCGTTCTGGTTCAAAATCTTCGCAGGATGGATCGTTCTTGGAAAGTGTGTGTATAAATGTAGCATCGAATCCTTCTATTATAATTACTCCCTGTGCTAGGACCATCGTAATCAGTACACAGCAAAGGCTGATGTATTTCTGGAAAAATAATTAAAACAACTGAACACTATATTCTTGGAAACACGTAAAACAACTTAACACTATCTTCTTGGAAACTGCTGTGGGATTGATTGGTCTTGGAATTATTAAACTGTTCGCACTTTTATTTTTTCTATTTTTTTTAAACAATCTTTTGTGAGGAAGCTTTATAATCAAAGATGGTTTTTACGAGGGTTCTCAAATAAGAAGGAAACTGCACTGCCTGTTCCCAGTTGTTGACAAGTCTGGGGACAACTCCCAACAAGTTATTCCAACAAATCTGATATCGGCTGCACGTCAGCATGTAACAAGTTGCCGGTTAACAAATGGATAACAGCAAGCTCGTAGCAACTTGTTACGGACAGCTTTTCTTAATCTTGTTGGAACAACTTGTAGCAAGTCAACCGTGTACCAAGGCGATAACAACTTGTTTCAGACTTGTCACAACAAATGGGAACACATCCTGATATCGGCCTCACACAAACATTGTTACAAGATCTGGAACAATTTTTATACGTGCCTGGTCGACCAATATTTGATGTTATATAAGATAGCTTCTGGTTACTGGAAGGGCCATTTATATATAGGCCAGTCATTGGAATTTCTTTGTGAAAAAATCTTAGGGCTTACCAAGAACTGGGGTTTCTTTAAACCCGCTGTCAGGACCAAAACACCTCCTGTAAGAATGGTCTAAATTAAGAAGAAAATTATCCAATTACTGCGCATGCGCGTCAATCACCGCATATGTTTCAGTTGAAGCGCAGCATATGCTAAAAAATGTCCTCAGCAGTCAGCTCGAATAAGTACGCGTCAACTAGTTGCATTTCAAATTTCGCTGTAAACTGAACGAAGAGGAAGTCATGGTGTGATTGGCGTCAGTCCTAGCAGTAATTTTCACACGTAACTCGGAATTCGAATCGCACACGACCATTTGTTCAATGTACATGAGTACTGCGTGGCAGATTAAATAGAACAAGACGCCTGCTCAGGCGTTCACACTGGCCTTCGCGGTTGGTAAAACCGTAAAATACGTTAATACCATCGCAATATTCCAAAAAATAGGTATTCAGTGCGTACATGTTGCATGCCATCAAAGCCATGAAACCTCATGACTCAGAATACTATACAGAAATCCATCTCCATTGTTTTCTGCGTAAGTGCTATTCGTCATGATTTGTCACTCGGCAAGTACCGTAAACAGAAGCAGTCACCCCCCTGGCACTGAACAAAGACACAGAAGGTCGATTAGAGTAACCGCTGCCATGTCCCAACCAGTGCGCGCCGAAGAAGCACTCCCGCTGGACATCTGTCATTTTGAATATTATCAGGGGGTGAATGCTCCCAAAAGCGCACCAGCCAGGACCATGGCGTCAGCATTTTGATGATGAATTACGGTCACGCCAAAATCATTGGAAAATGATAGGAAAAACCGGGAAATCGGCCTGAAACTTAAAATATTGATTCAATAAGTTTAATATCAATATATTTATTGAAAAATAGCTATAATGTCAAAATAAGAAAACTTAAGATTCTCATGCGAATAGGCAATATTTTTATGAGCGACTGTTCATCGTTAGTTGCAAACGACGGTATAATATAAACAAGGTTAAGGTTTTATCGAAAGCGATTGACTGTTAGATTTCCTTTTATACTATTTGATAACTAAATAATGTTATTTCCTACAAATTTAGCTTTATTGTAGCTTTATTGAAAGTATAAAAAACATGGAAACGGTGAATTTAATACTATAGATTGAAAATAATTATTAAACTATGATTGAAACAAGACGCCTGCTCAGGCGTTCACACTGGCCTGAAAATGGCAATTTTCGTGGTACTGGGTGTAATTTGTAGAGTAGAGAAGTAAGATAGGGATACAGGATCATAGGGATACTGGATCATATAAATACAACCAATAAATACAATCATGATCAGCAACTATCAACCATAATATACCAAGACGCCGGTTCAGACGTACCCTCCGGCTACGGGCAATTCAACCTGACAAGCCAGGCCCACTGTAATACTATGATCATCAACTACCGTGAATAATGACGGGCCAATAATAGCGAAGAAATTATAGTCCTTGATTTTTAATGCCGTTATATGGCTAGTTTCAGGTGCTAAAAAGTTCATAGACGTAGACGACTCTTCTAAAAAATACGCCAATTTGCTTCCATATATATGATAAACTGATCCCAACCCAAAGCCTTTCTCTAACCCCAACCAGTAAACATCTAATAAACAATTTGGGGATTAAAAAAGTGTGGGGGGGGGGGGAGTTGGATCTTGTTCCAAAAACAAATCGAACCGTATCACGTTTCAATTCGCCGCACGCAACGCCACCTCGCTGAATACAATCGAAAACATACATTTTAATGATTTTATAGTAATATATGATGAATTAGAAAGTAATTTGGCGCAAATACCGGCAAAGTTGAACTCAAGTCAACTTTCCCGGCCTACCGCCGATGTAACTGTGCCACTGGAGGCAATCGGCGAACAAATGTTCACATAATTTACGTTTTAAAGCTACCATCGGCACAAGAGCAAAGAGCCTGGGAACGAGGTTGCCATCGACATCGTCGCCGGTACGTCGCAGGCACGTGGCAGGCATATATGTGAACCAGGCTTAATTCGTCTCACTTTTCTCTTCATTTTGATAGTATTTTGAGCCCAAAATATTTTATTTTGAACGTTTTAAATAATCGTGAGCATGTTTTAGTTAAATTGCGCAATCCTGAGCCCACGATGCCGCAATGGAAAGTCACACTTGCGACAACAAAAAACCCCGAAAAAATTCCTTGCATTGCAGCAAGGGCAAATTATGACGCAGGCTGCGGCCAGTGTAATAAGTATTTCTTGTACTTGCGGGAACCACTGCGCATTTTCATGAAATACACAACAACGGTAACTCCGAATAAAGTCAACATTTTTTATTCAACGTTTCGAAACGTTGTCGAAACGCTGAATCAAAAATGTTGTCTTTATTACGTCGAACAGCCAATTTAAGCAGCAATATATAATCGCATATATTAAATATTCCTAGCAACGGACAGAATCAGAAAAGCACCGCGATTGAAATGTCATTAGACAAGACAGCTATATGGTTTTACATAGTCATTGTTCAAAGCCTTACCGGTATTCCAGCCCAATATTGACAAGTGTTAGACCCAAAACCAGAAAGATATTTCGACAGTCCAGTTAGGATATTTCTTATCTTTAGGGCTGATACAAATATGAAAATACCAAAACAAAACACCAAGAAGCCCGCCAGACCGATAAGAAAATGCAGCCTTGTTCGAATTAGGTAGTTAGCCATACTTGTGATCTTTCTATGACTAAGTAATGATTTCTCAATTGTGTATAAACACCGTATACTTATCTCGATAGATATTTGATACAGTAGGTCAGAGCAGTATGCAAGGTTATTCTAACTGTGTTGAGCAATTGCGACTGAATTGTTTAATTAAACGAGTGTTTTTAAACCAATCAACATACGCTATAATCGGTGTTGACAGTAGGGTGGAAATTTCGAGAGTATAAGTTTATTTACAATTTGCAGCTGTGAAAAATGTAACTAGGCAGCCTAGGCATAGTGGAAAAGACGGAGTGCGGAGTCTTTGACATTGATGGCAGGAAAAATAAGATTTATGCTCAAAGTCTTTGTCTCCTTGCAAAGTTATTTCTTGGTCACAAGACATTTGTATATTTTGCACAAAGTGGAAAACGCGGATTCTTTGAAATCGAATCTTTAGGCAAAACAAACAATTTCTTGCCAGACTCCGCGTTTTCCACTACATTATGCCCCATGCACAAAGTGGAAAACAGGGAGTCTGGTTAAACTACGTACTCCGTCTTTTCCACTGATGCAATGTAACTATAGGTTCTCGATTCTTAATTAATAGGAATCGAACCTACGGCCCTGTGATTCCGGTACGTACAGCGCTCTAGTGAGCAACGGAGGTCAGTTGTATAGAGCTCGACATGAGCGCGGCACAACTTTGCACTGCTATGATAGTACGCTTTCATATCTCAGTCACTTTGTTGTTCTTGTGTCAATGTTTCCGCATTCCTGCTATACACCGAATATACCTTTGCCTAAACCGAATTATTTTATATTGTTTAAGGTTTCCCATATGTATTCTTGGCATGGTGGAATCGCTTTACAGACGAAAGCCTCTCACAGTAAGGTTTTGTTTATTTTGGTAAAATTAGATGATATAGGTAAAAAATATCATGTTGTTCTGGTTTCCGGACGCCGCCTCTCTTTCTGCCAACCCTAATGTGTTTTGGATGGGATTGGGTTGTTTGTTCACCTACCAACTGTATTTTATTTATTTATTTAACTTTTATCAATTTTTTAATATAACTAAAATTTATTCAAATTTGTATAGGTAATCATGCGATGGCGAGTACAATTAGGGATTAATAGTACGAGTGATGTTTGGAAATTTTGCCAAAATTGGACGAGCCGCCGGGGCGAGTCCAATTTGGTAAATTTCCAAACATCACGAGTACTATTAATCCTTAATTGTACGAGCAACATCGCATGATTATTTGTTTATTATTAGCATGACAAAATTGGATACGTACTTCTCAATGTCAGCATCATATTCTCTCGCCAAAGCCCAGTCCTGCCAGACTTTCAACCAAAATTTGGTGCTTTTGTTTGTATTTTCATTTAGTTCTTTTGTTAAAGCAAAATTTGGTGCTTTTGTTCGTATTTTCATCTAGTTCCTCCACTGCAATTTCATTTCACGCTTGAGTTTAAAATACGTTTCCGCCATTTTGTTTGTTTTGGGAAAATCATTAATTGTACTGCAGTACAATTAATGAAATAATTGTACTCCTCTCAACCAATCAGCATCCAGTAATTTTGTTATGCTAATAATAAATTTACATATTAACCATCATCATATGTATATACAGTGACTGGCTAGGAAACCACAACAGCTTTTGCCAATTACTGTGCCCACAGTAGTACAGAAACAATTTACAAAGTACAATACTTGGACAATAGTCATTTACAGAAAGTCTATCATAGAAGCAACGTGCCAAAAGAGGGTTCGTCAGACTGCGGTTGACCGGCCAGAATTTGGACTGGATGAAAACTAATTCACCTTACTTTAAGTCGTGATTTATAGGGTGAGATGTCATGTATTTCAAATCTTCCAGTTCGGACTAGACTAGATTTCAAGTCCTCCAATTTTGATCCAGTCCTCGGACTTCATCAAATCAGCGCGGACTTGAAATCTGTATATTCCAGTCCCTCATAGTCGGATTTCAAAATATTATTACAAACATAACTTATATATTATATATACACATTACCAAAACACATCAACTGATGAATTGCCAATGAAATTGTCGTTGCATGCAATTACACTTAAGAGTTTAGACTTTAGTCAGCATTTACAGTTTTAGCATTTACACTGGATGCAATGGTATTGCACTCTGATCTTGTTGAGAAGTCTGCTGGTATTGCTCCGTGGGCGCCTGTTGGTCATGTAGCGTTTTCTGAAAATATTACAAAAAAATTTATAAAAATTTTATAATCTTATTGCCAGGGCTGGGTAAAATTTCGTATTTTCTGTCACCACTAGGGGACATGAAAAATTTTCTTTGAGCTTTCGACCGAAAATTTTAGCCACCTTTGTAAGTGAATTTCTGTAATATCTGTAACGCCATACTGGTTGTCTTGGAAGAACAATTATTATAATAATTCATGAAAAAAAAACAAAGAGAAATCATGACCGTGAAGGAGTTTGTATTTCTGATACAAAATTATGCTGATTTACATAAACTTTATGTTTAATTTTCTAACTTTGGTTATCATTCATTTATTTTAAATTGTTGACGAATACGAATGTTCTCATCAAGACGTTTCACAAACCATTTACAACATTCGCGTCCGTGTTGCTTTCGCGGTTCGAGTTTGTACATCCGATACAACCCGGCCTGTCATGTTATACATAACACATAAAGTAACTTCATTTTGACGCCAGTGCCTGTAAAATATGAACATCTGTAAAACTAACATTTCTTACCGGTGCAACAAACAAAATCCAATCTGCAAACAGTAGGAGCAGGACAAAGGAACACAGCACCAACACAATATCATTTATGAATATCAACGTAAAATACCAGAGATATGCTTCTTTGAGTATGGCACAATCTTTCTTCATCTTGGAGTGGTCTCGATCTTTGCGGCAGGATGATTCATCATCTTTGAAATGTCTATGTAAAGTTGCAGCTTCAAGCGATTCTACTATAATTACTCCCAGTGCTAGGACCATCGTAATCAGTACACAGCAAAGGCTGATGTATTTCTGGAAAAATAATTAAAACAACTAAACACTATATTCTTGGAAACTGCTGTGGGATTGATTGGTCTTGGCCTATTAAACTGTTCGCACTGCTTGTTCCCAGTTGTTGACAAGTCTGGGACAAGTTGTTGCCATCTTGTAACAAGGTTGATGAGGTCAACAGACTCGCAACAAGTTGTTCCAACAAATCCGATATCGGCTGCACGTATCAAGTTGTTACAGAGATTCATGCAGATTTGACTTCTACTATCCCTATCATTAAGGGATCATTAACCAATCAAATGCGTTTATATATCCGATTAACCAATCAGATGCGTGCTGAGTCAGTGAGAGCTGTTGGTATAGTGTTCAGTAACAAGTGGTTGACAACAAGCTCGGCGTGCCAGCCTATATCAGTCTTGTTGGAACAATTGTAACAAGTCTGTTACCGTCTTCAACCTTGTAACAAAGTGATAACAACTTGTTCCAGACTTGTCATAACAACTGGGAACAAGCAGTGCGAACACATCCTGAGACTTCGCAACAATCTTGTTACAACTGTTTGCAGATCTGCAACAACCTGCGCGTTTTTACGTGCAGAGTCGCCTCATCGCAAGGCAATAGTCATATTATAGGCTATAGGGGCGATTTATACACTATATAAGCTAGACTTTGGCTTACCCAGAATTGGCGTTTATTTAAACGCGCTGTCTGGACCAAAACACCTCCTGTAAGAATAGTCTAGATCAAGAAGAAAAAATAATCCTCCATTGACGTCCAACATCTATATACCCCAACAATCTATATTCATCAAAAATTTCATGACATGAATGGTTGTGAAATTGAGAACCGTTTCAAAATTGTCTCATAAGGCTAATTTCCACTCCGGAAAATATGCACCGGATCGGAGGTTTTTCCAATCCGGGCCGATCCAACAAGCGATTTTTAGTGAAAGGACAAGTGGAATAATCGGATCGGAAAAGGAAAAATGGAGTTCGTTCCAGTCTCACATCCTCCATTTTGTAAATTTGATGTCAGGTATTATTTAATTATTTTAATTTATGTGAGATAATACGGCGTTTTGATTGGTCGCCAGGTTTAATCACGCGGGACCGGACCAAAAAGTTGAAAATATTTCAACTTTTTATCAGTATCCGGCCAGCAACGTCGCCGGATTAATCGGAACCAAAAATTTCTACCGATGGCGCATGCGTGGATTTTGTTTTGTTCCGATCCGGTCCGATCCACCGCTTATTTTCCGGAGTGGAAATTAGCCTATACACATCGTACACCCTGTATAATTAATGTTTATTATAAGTGAAACACTGCAGCACAGCCCGCATGGGCTAAAAAATGTAACAGTCGCATGTACATACAGCTAAAATAACCTAAACTTCGAGTTTTCGAACGAAAGCCTTTTGTTGGGATTTTAAGCCCCGTTTAGACGAGCAAATTTTATTTGACAAATTTCATTTGATCAAAAGCTAGCATGATGGCTTTTGTTCGAATGCATTTGTCACAAATTTATCATCTACACGAGCAAAATATCTTTGACATATGAAATTTGTCAAATAAAATTTGCTCGTGTAAACGGGGCTTAAAGCTTAGGTCCGGTTGTATACTGAAAAGTGATTAAAGTTGATCATGATAGTTAAGTGGAAATGTCATCCAATAAGAAGCGCCTTTCGGAGAGTTAATCACTGTTTTGTAGTTTATTATTAGCATGACAAAATTACTGGATGCTGATTGGTTGAGAGGAGTACAATTATTTCATTAATTGTACTGCAGTACAATTAATGATTTTCGCAAAACAAACAAAATGGCGGAAAGGTATTTTAAACACAAATGTGAAATGAAATTGCCGTGGAGGAACTAGATGAAAATACGAACAAAAGCACCAAGTTTTGCTTTAACAAAAGAACTAAATGAAAATACAAACAAAAGCACCAAATTTTGGTTTGAAAGTCTGGCAGGACTTGCTTTGGCGAGAGAATATCATGTTGACATTGAGAAGTACGTATCCAATTTTGTCATGCTATAATAAACAAGTAATCATGCTATGTTGCTCGTACAATTAGGGATTAATTGTATACTCGTGATGTTTGGAAATTTGCCAAATTGGACTCGCCCCGGCGGCTCGTCCAATTTTGGCAAAATTTCCAAACATCACTCGTACTATTAATCCCTAATTGTACTCACCATCGCATGATTACCTATACTAAATAGAGTATGAATAGAGTTAATCACTCTTTAACTACAAAATAGTGATTAAAAAAGGGATTAAGAGTTTTATACAACTAGGGCCGGTTGTTCAAAAGCCGATCAGCTTAACCCTAGGTTAACCTAAAATTCAAAGCAAACTTCCCGACAGCTTGGTTATAAACTTGGAAATGTTTCTTCAGAAATCTTGTCTGGACAAATGAGAGTTTTCTTCTCTGAAGTTTTGAAACAAATAGATGTGTAGAAATACACAAACTAAAACAGCAGCTAGGTTAAAATTTAACCCAGGGTTAGCGCTAATCCAGCTTTGAACAATCGGCCCCTGGCCCCTGGAAGTAATAGACAATTCCCATTATAGACTAATTTTAAAACTAGGCAAGGAGATGCAAATAAATCACCACAGCTAGAAAGAGCATACTAAAATTAGTAAAATTACAAAATTTGGTTGCGAAATGTTGTAAAATGTGGAAAATATAGCCTTGCAAAGTTTGCAAATTTTGTATACTTTTGTATTGCGTGCGACCATTTTCGGCTTAAATGTGGTTATTGCGTAGGAATGTGGTCGGAATTTCCGCAAGCAATACAAAAGTATACAAAATTTGCAAACTTTGCAACGCTATATATTTTCCACATTTTACAACATTTCGCAACCGAACTTTGTAATTTTACTAATTTTAGTATGCTCTTTCTAGCTGTGGTGATTTATTTGAGTTTCCTTGCCTAATTTTAAAATTAGTCTATAATGGGAATTGTCTATTATAGTTATGTAAATGCTAAAAGTACAATATGTCTGTATCTTTATCCTGACACACCGGACGCGATTCGATAACGCGACGCGATTTTTTAGTTTTTGAAAGTTAATAAACAGCCAATGAGAGCAAAATTTTGAAAGGCATGTAGATCAAATAACTCAAAATGTTATAACGCTTCTAAATATTTGGAAAATTTAAACTAGGATCAAAGTTATCGTTCAATGAAAATCGAAAAATCGCGTCGCGTTGTCCGGAATCGCGTCCGGTGTGTCTGGACCTTAGTACTGAAACAATCGCGCATGCCGGATGCTCTGGCAACCCCGTAGAATAGCCAAAGCAGCAATATATAATCCTATATAAAGTACATCGTATAATGTAGAATCATAGAAGAACTCACTTAAGTTAAGACAGCTATATGGTTTTACATAGTTCGAAGCCTACCGGTATTCCAGCCCAATATTGACAAGTGTTAGTCCCAAAACCATAAAAATATTTTAACTCTACACTTAGGATATTTCTTATTTTTATGCCTGATGCCAAGATAAAAACTCCAAAACAAAACACCAAGAAGCCCGCCAGACCGATAATAAAATGCAGCCTTGTTCGAAGGTAGTTAGCCATACTTGCGAGTTGCGGTCTTTCTATGTCCTGTGACTATAATTATAAACTGAATGTTTTCTCAATTATGTATAACCACAACAGGACATGAACAGGTGGGAAAACTGTCGTCGCTGACCAATTTATCGCGGTCGCTTTCGTTTTGGCAGCAAAAATTGTGAAAACAACAAAAACACGGATTTCGCTACAGCCTGTCTCGTACTTGCAGCAGAAGAAAAATAAAAGAAAGCTAGCAGACGTAAATGTTAATAAACGTCAATCAAGACCACGATTACGCTCGCAATCCTGTCTCGTACTCAGGCGCTTTGGTTTGTTACGTCATTAAGGCACGCGGGACGGCACGCGAGGGACCACCACGTGGCCCACGCAAAGGTCACGCAAGCCATATAACTATGGAGGGTGATTACCGCCAAAATTAATGTTTGAATTTTGCATTCCAAGTTCTAGATTTTGTTGTTCGTTCCGTGCTTTTTGATATCAATGAATTGAATTTTGATATTAAAGAATTGAATTTTGATGTTCGCAATTGCATTTGCACTTCTGTTTGCGCATTTTGTCCTTAAGCATTCCATTGTGATGACGTAACATTATGCGTGACCCTCAGAACACAATTTTCAACTCGATTTAATGATAATTTATTTCCCGCAAAAATTTTAATTATCTCTAATTATTCCAACATTGTTACTTCGGCTGTTCAGCATACGAATAAAAATATGGCTGAGAACCGTTCAAAATCACAAGAAGTAGCAACTTTTAATATTACGCCGTGCAGCAAGCATTTTAACGCACAATTCTGCTGAAAGTGAAGGATGTTGTGCAAGGAACAGCAATATGGGAAATACAGTGCGTCCAATTGAATTCAACCTGCTCTAAGTCAACAAGCCACAACCTCTAGTCACGATGAATTTCGGCGACTATTCTCCCTGTACAATAGGGCTAACAATAGCAGCCTCGTTCATCAACCTCCGGCGAAGCGCGGTCGAGGTAATTCTTGGGGACAAACGCGTTCTTTTAAGCCACAAGATACGTGGACACACGATTTTTCGGTTTGGCACAAGTAGCTCGCTGAATTAACTCGTATTAAATTAATGCACTTTAAGATGTGAAATGTATGAAGTAAATCTTGATGTGAAATTGTGAATACGCTGAATACGATTATTTACAAATACAAACTCTCCACTTCTAAAAACACCAGCAAAAACACTTCTTTAGATCGAGTATGAAACGCTCAGCAAGCGTCTTGTTTACTGTAAATTTATATGTATGATCATATTACATGTATGTAACATTAAAATTTTTGCGGGAAATAAATTATCATTAAATCGAGTTGAAAATTGTGTTCTGAGGATCACGCATCATGTTACGTCATCACAATGGAATGCTTAAGGACAAAATGTGCAAACAGAAGTGCAAATGCAATTGCGAACATCAAAATTCAATTCTTTAATATCAAAATTCAATTCATTGATATCAAAAAGCACGGAACGAACAACAAAATCTAGAACTTGGAATGCAAAATTCAAATATTAATTTTGGCGGTAATCACCCTCCATATATAACCGAACACATAGCGCCTGGGTACGAGCATAGATTATATATCATACCAGATGTCTCACTCAGCCAAAATTGTGTCCGCGATTTTTTATGAGCACGCATTGGCCGCCATTTTGGCAGTAAGTGTAATCCACGCCATGAAACGTGAGCAATCACGCATTTTGGCAGTAAGCGCCATTTTGGCAGTAAGTGCATAGAGATTATAAATAACACTAGAGGAGGCATTGTAATCTTAATTCAGTTAAAAAAAGGGAACGCAGCTATTGGGGGGCAAATTCAAGTCCCGGATGTGTATTCACGTTCCCATTGGTGACGAGTTTCAAATCAACCAATGAGAGCACGATTTTATATCTGGGACTCGAATTTGCCCCCCATTAGCTGTGTTCCCCATTTTCAACCTTGATGCCTCCTCTAGTGTTATTTATAATCTCTATGAGTAAGTGTCGCACGCGTCATCTGGCGTGATAGCCTCGCGAAAATCGCGGACACGAAAATCATAGAGATGTATACACAGTGAGACATCTGGTATGATCTATAATCTATGGTACGAGGTAGGTCGCAATCAGGAAATTAGCAATAAAGAACTCTTCGCTGAAACTTAGCCGAAAATGACGTTTCTTGCAAAATGAGTGTTTTTGATGGCAAATCAGACTTTCGCAAAGTCCTTCGTTTTTGTTTAGAACGAAGGAATTTTCAAGGAAGTAATTTAGTGGCAAATAATCTCGAGCAGGAACGTAGTATTGATGGAATATTACTTGAAATTTGCATTACGTGCGTTTGTTGTCCAGAACAAAGTATAAATATTTGGTTTTTGAGTGATATTGTGTGCCAACGATAATCGTCAAATTTCAGTATGTGAGGTATTTTGCTAAAATTGCTTTTTTTTTCACCTTAATTTTCTCATACATGCAAGTTGTGTCAATGAAATGTGATTAGGTCAGAAGATGTGCTTTTCTTTCTAATATTTGCTAATAGAATGAAAACTCGATTAAAAAATGAAGAAAATACTGAATTTTGGCAAATTTTATGTCGGCAAGTGTAATTTGTACGAAAAAGGCGACTCAGAAAATGAACATCAGAATAAACATTTTGACCGGTTGTATTTTGCTATAATAATAGTTTTAAAATATTATTTTTAGGTTTTCAAAGTATTTAAAAAACAAATAAACATAGCAATCAGATTTTTCTATGAATTTTGATCCAGTCCTCAGGCTATATACAGTCCAATCCTTTAGTCGGATTTGAAATATTATTACAAACATAACTTACAATCTGCAATATATATCACCATGGATTGTAAAATAACTGGATAGGAAACTTCCTGACCAGGGGCGTAGGAACAGGGGGGGGGGGGGCAGGCCCCCAAGTTTTGGCAAGTGCCCTTTTTCCAGGAGCCAAGTGCCCTTTTTTTGCGTGAAAAATTTTCTTTAAAATTGCATTTTTTGCCCAAAGGGCACTTTTGAAAACTTCAATCTATGTTATTTCCGGAAAATGTTTTAGTAGTTTCCTGGAAAAATATTATATATCCGGAAAAAATTTTCGTATTTAGGAAGAAATGTGGTATGTCCGAAAATTTTTTTACCTAAAATGGTACACTGACCGAAATATTTTTGGCGACGGGATGGAGGGGAGGTCGCCAAAAATAATTTTTAGATCCCCCTTTTTTTTTCGAAAAGTGCCCCTCAAAGCCTGGCCCCCCCCCCAATTTTTCGAAGCTTCCTACGCCCCTGTTCCTGACGTCACAGTCTAAACCTAGTTGCAATCTGTGACGTCACGCGTATTGCTAAAGTTCTCAGCATTTTTGTTGTTTCGCTATATTTTCGCGAATTGTTTTAAAAACATGCCTAAGCCACGACAAAGTATTCAAGGTAAACGTTTTTCGTCTTTGTTTTGTATTTTTTTTTACATTTGTAGCTACGAAATTGGCGTCGCCAATTTTAACGAAATTTGCGATGTATTTTTCACTGTTTAGTGCTTGAAATATTTGCTAAAATTGACTGGAAATACTTGGAGATTTTATCGTAGAATGGCGTAGTCATATTTATTTCCTCTTTGACTAAAATGTTTAGCTGTATTATTGCTAAACATGCCATTTTTGAGAATTTGGTTTGCAACTAGGTTTCAACGCCATCATCCCATTGGAAACATTAGGTCACGTCAGCTAGTTTCCTATCCATGTATTTTATTATCCATGATATCACACTTAAAAGTTTAGTCAGATTTTACAGTCTTAGCATTTACATTGGATGCAATGGTATTGTACTCTGATCGTGATGAGAATTCCAAGCCCACTGGTATTGTTCCGTGGGCGCTGCCACATATCTTTCCTGCTGCGGTGGAGGAACTTCATGTGATGCATGTTGGTCATGTAGCATTTCCTGAAAATATCACAATTTTTTTTATAAATGGGTACTGTAGAATATACATTCAATCTTATTGCCAGGGTTGGATAAAATTTCTTATTTTCTGTGACCACTAGGGGACATGAAACATTTTCTGTCAGCTTTCGACCGAAAATTTTAGCCAAATTTATACGTGAATTTCTCCAATATCTGTAACGCCATACTGGGCGTCTTGGAAGAACAATTTAGAACTCATGCAACTATCCAATATATATTTGTGAAACTCATTATAATAATTCATGAAAAAAACAAAGAAAATCGACGGTGAAGGAGTTTTTGTTTCTGATACCGGCAAAATTATGCTGATTTACATAATAAACTTTATGTTTAATTTTCTCACCAAATATCATTAATTTATTTTAAATTGTTGAAGAATACGAATGTTCTCATCAAGACATTTCACAAACTATTTACAACATTCGCGTCCGTGCTGTATCAAAGTTTGTACATCCGATACAACACAGCCGATCGTGTTGTAAATAACACATCAATTAACTTCATTTTGACTTCAGTGCCTGTAAAATATGAACATCTATAAAACTAACATAATTCGTACCGGTGCAATAAACAAAATCCAATCTGCAAACAGTAGGAGCAGGACGAAGGAACACAGCACCAACACAATAACAGTTATGAACACCAACATAAAATACCAGAGATATGCTTCTTTAAATTTGGCACAATCGTCCTTGATATTGAGCTCGTGTCGTGTGTTCATATCGCCTCCACAGGTTGATTCATCTTCTTTGAAATATCTATGTATAGCTGTAGCATCTAATCCTTCTACTATAATCACTCCCAGTGCTAGAACCATCGTTATCAGCACACAGCAAAGGCTGACGTATTTCTGGAAAAATAATTAGACGTAAAACAACTAAACACTATTTCTTAGAAACATCTAAAACAACTTACAGTCAAATCCGGTGTTCCGTTGTGGGCAACATTGCAATATTGTCACGCAATATTGATCGGCTGATTGCTCTAGCAAATTGCAACCGACGCAAACAAATTGCAATTTTTACATACTACTAGTAACAGTACTAAACCGTCAACTGCAAAATTCAAAAGTTCATAAATAAATAAAGCCTGATTGGCTACTAGTACAAAACAAGCCAATCAAATGTTTGGCATCGACATTTGGGCGCGACCTCTCGACAAATTGTCAACATGTAAGAATTGCAATTTGTTCGCGTCGGTTGCAATTTGCTGGAGCAATCATATCAGCCGATCAATATTGCAATAATGCGTGACGATATTGCAATGTTGCTGGCAACGGAACACAGGATTTGACTGTAACACTATCTTCTTGAAAACTGCTGTGGGATTGATTGGTCTTGGATTAAACTGTTCTCACTGCTTGTTCCCAGTTGTTCACAAGTCTGGGACAAGTTGTTATTATTTTGTAACAAGGTCGATGAGGTCAACAGACTCCTAACAAGTTGTTCCAACAAATTTGATATCAGCTGCACGTAACAAGTTGTTTGAGAGGTTCATGCATATTTGAATTCCACTAGCTCTACCATTAAGGGATCATTAACCAATCAAATGCGTTGATATATCCGATTAACCAATCAGATGCTTGCTGAGCCAGTGACGGCTAGTGGTAGCGGTAGTGCATGGAAGTGAAATCTGAACTTCTCTAATAACAAGCGGTTGACAACAAGCTTGTAACAACTTGTTACCGGACAGCTTGTATTAGTCTTGTTGGAACAATTGTAGCAAACCAGTATGTTAGGCAAAAAAAAAATGTGTGGGTTTCCGGTTTCCCGACCCTACCTAGCTTTTGGACGTCGAAATCCCGACCCTAAACTTTTTTATTGGATCATGCTTGTAAGTTTTTTCACTTAGAGGAAAAAGTTTGTGGAAAATTGAAATTTGAGGCAATATTAGGGAAATTTATCTTTGGATGTGGAAGCACTGACTAAACAAAATGGCGCCGGTTGTTAGGAAAATTAAAAAAAAAGTTAAAAAAAAGTTTAAAAAATTTTTATAAGAAGAAACCGGAAACCCACATTTTTTTTTAGCCTTACCGTCATCAACCTTGTAACAGGGCGATAACAACTTGTTCCAGACTTGTTACAACAACTGCATGGGAACAAGCACTAGTGCAAACACATCCTGAAGCTTCACAACAATCTTGTTACAAGTGTTTGCAGATCTGGAACAGCCTGACGTGTGTATAGTCGCTTCATCACAAGGCAATAGTCCTATAGCGAACTTTTCATACATGAACTCAAATAAAGAATACCGTTTGTCATTTCCGTGCGCAAGCCACTTTTAGGGGAGCAAAAGTTGACCACCCCCCTGGATAGCAAAATTTACTATTTTCAAAAATTTTTATATTTTCTATAATTTAAGAACTCAAGCAATCCATATATAGCAAAAATTACATTTCATGAACAGAATTGTGGAATTGAGAGCAATTTCAAAATTGTCTTACTTTTTTTGATACACCCTGTATAGGCGAAGCATTGGCCTGAGTGTCAGACGAATAACGAATTATAATTCCTTATTCGTCTGACACTCAGGCTAGCCAAGCACTGGCTTACCAAGGACTGGCGTTTATTCAAGCGCGCTGTCTGGACCAAAACACCTCCTGTAAGAATGGTCTAAATTAAGAAGAAAAAAATGAATCCAGTTACTGCGCATACCCGGATCAGTGAGCTCCGTAAGCAACCAAAAATGTCAAATTTTCACTTTGATCTATCATTGAAACTTTCCCAAGGGGAGGTGCATGACTTTTCAGGGGAGGTGCAAAAACTCTCAGGGGAGGTGCAAAACGATCTCACGGGAGGTGCGCACTTCCTCACACCTCCCCTCAAAATCTGGCCATGCGACAAACCGCAGCGTGTATAACTAGCCTCCGGCTCGTGCACAGACAAGTTTAGCTTCCCGTATGTAGGGACAACAAGTTTCCCTTTTGACAAGTTTTGTTGCGGCCGTATATACATGGCACGGATGAATCTTCCTTGTCCAAAAGCTGGCACGACTATCTTCGGAACAAAGCTCCTTGGCAAAGAATAATTGTCATTGTTTTACCGTACATGTACACGAACAAATATAACGCACCTTAAACCGTGAGAACTCCGACGTTTTAATAATAATAATAATAATTTAATTCGCCAACAACACCGTTTACATAATTCAAGAACATAAATAACTATGTATAGGGTACAAAGATAGTAAATATAGTTATTGATTCATGATGTCAGTGGCAAGGAGTCCCCCAGAAACCATAGGGCTTATGAATAGGATGTCTCCTTGAAACTTTGAATTGAATTAAATATATATGGAAATATTAAAGTATATCTGATCAAGCATGAGAAACTTAATTAAGCGTATCAATAAGATCATGAATCAAATAAGTATTTCATCATTCTATTCCTGAAGGAACTTAATGTCTCTGCCTTTCTAACGGTATCAGGAAGGGAATTCCACAGTTTTGGACCACGAGAAAGTATTGTGAATTGTTTTATATTAGTTCTACACTGATGCATGACATCGATACGAGTCGACGTTTCTTGTGTTAGTTATGGACTTGTTTGTTTGCATTAAATAGATTGAGAAAGCAGGGTGGAAGTAATTTAGTTTTGAGCGAAAGCCCGTTGTAAAGTTAGCCTGGAAGTTATATAGTTACATAATGCTAAAAGTACAATGTGTTTACAACACCACGTATAATACTGAAACAATCGCGAATAGTACTTGAGCGACCCCGTGGAACAGCCAAAGCTGCAATATAGAGTGATCTAAAAAAGGTAATCGGCACGCTATTGTATTGTGTCTGAATTACTCTGTGTATATGACCGAGATTTTTTCATATTCGGACAAATCAGGTTTTTATCTGTTGAATGATACGTTGTTCAAACATTTCATGCCAAATGGATAAACAATACTCAATAGCTCGCTGAACTTCAATTTTTTCATACATCGTATAATGTTCCTAATCCGTAGAATCGGAAAAGCACCGCGATTGAAATATCATTAGATCACTTATTTAAGACAGCTTTGGGTTTACATACATAATGCGAACTTTCAAGCCTTACCGGTATTCCAGCCCAATATTGACATGTGTTAGACCCATAATTTATAAAATATTTCAACTCTCCAGTTAGGATATTTCTTATCTTTAGGGCTGATGCCAAGATAAAAACACCAAAACAAAACACCAAGAAGCCCGCCAGACCGATAAGAAAATGCAGCCTTGTTCGAAGGTAGTTAGCCATACTCAATTTCTTCTTCTATGACTCTGTTGACTCGGTATAATGTTTTCTCAATATATGCTGACGTTTGTCTGCGAATATGCTAAGCATTTGAGACTTATTTGAATAAGCAGTTGGTGTTAATCTTTGTTTTAACCAATCAATGTACAGCAGTCAATCTTTGAAATGCGGTTGCCCTATATTCCTCTGTTATTTGCTCGGCTGCCGCGAATCCCAAAATGAAGCCCTATCATGCAGCGTAAATTCTGACAGGCGCGGGATCGCCCTGAAATGGCCGAGATATAGAAAATGAAATGGCGACATTGAGCACTCAAACTCTGTTTAAATTGTGATATGGAAAAGTAGGAAACAACATTTCTAAAGCGACAACTGAATAACAATGTTTTTATGAAGCGGGACGCCTTATTGTGAACCCTATATAATAGCACAGCGAGGCGCCATAGTTTGACGTGCTATGCTTTCTCCAGAGTCCACTCGGCTCAGTCTTTCGCGCGATCCATCTATTGTGCAGTCGGTTTGGATGTCTGTCGATTTTCCGGGGAATTAATTTTAAGCTTCTAGTACGTTTGCAAAATGTACTGTTCAGTTGGGAAGTACATGAAGCATTTCTCAACAAAGTACAAATCATAACTATAGAAAGCTTCGGATTGATAGGCCTGCAACTTATTTATTATTTAACTTATTAACTTTTATTAACTAAAATTTATTAATATATTTACTTATTAACCATCATCATTTGTATGTACAGTAACTGGCTTGACCCCAATAGACCCTTTCCGGTAATTACGTCACAACTACACTGCATGTTTTCACCTTAAATGGAATAGATTTCAAGTTTGTTTCTCACGGGCTATGGTCAGAGGAGCAGAACATCCTTCGTCAACACATGCATAAAAAAAATTTGGACTAAATTGTGGAAATAAGCTTAAACACGAAAACGAGGCTGAGGGGCCATGGCCATTCGTTTTCGTGGATTTACATTGGATGGAATGGTATTGTACTCTGACCGTATTGAGAATTCCAAGTCCGCTGGTATTGTTCCGTGGGCGCTGCCACATATCTTTCCTGCTGCGGTGGAGGAACTTCACGTGATGCCTGTTGGTCCTGTAGCATTTCCTGAAAATATCACAATTTTTTTTATAAATGAGTACTGTAGAATATACATTCAATCTTATTGCCAGGGCTGGATAAAATTTCTTATTTTCTATGACCACTAGGGGAGATGAAAAATTTTCTGTCAGCTTTCGACCGAAAATTTTAGCCACCTTTGTACGTGAATTTCTCCAATATCTGTGATGCCATACTGGGCGTCTTGGAAGAACAATTTAGAACTTATACAACTATCCAATATATATTTGTGAAACTCATTATTATAATACTGATTCATGAAAAAAACAAAGAAAATCATGACGGTGAAGGAGTTTTTGTTTCTGCATGATACAAAATTATGCTGATTTACATAATAAACTTTATGTTTAGTTTTCTCACCAAATATCATTCATTTATTTTAAATTGTTGAAGAATACGAAATGTTCTCATCAAGATGTTTCACAAGTCATTTTCAACATTCGCGTCCGTGTTGTATCGGACCGACACAACCCGGCCGCTCGTGTTGCAAATGAAGTAACTTCATTTTGACTTCAGTGCCTGTAAAATATGAACAACTATAAAGCTAACATATTTCTTACCGGTGCAACAAACAAAATCCAGTCTGTAAACAGTAGGAGCTTGACGAAGGAACACAGCACCAACACAATAACAGTTATGAATACCAACATAAAATACCAGGGATATGCTTCTTTGAGTATGGCACAATCCAACCTATACTTGTGTTCTTGTTTAGTTACTTCGCACCATGAATCTTCCTTGAGAAATCTGTGTATTATTGTAGCATCGAATCCTTCTATTATAATCACTCCCAGTGCTAGGACCATCGTAATCATTACACAGCAAAGGCTGATGTATTTCTGGAAAAATAATTAGACGTAAAACAACTAAACACTAAATTCTTAGAAACACGTAATATAACTCAACACTATCTTCTTGGAAACTGCTGTGGGATTGATTGGTCTTGGAATTATTAAACTGTTCGCACTGCTTGTTCGCAGTTATTATTATTATTATTATTAATGTTAATATTAAACACTCCCAAAAGGGTTTTTCAGTGTTCAATACAAAAGTCATAAGAAGTAATTACTTAAATTATATTCTAAAAACTATGTAATATACTATTTACTCTAAAATTTAAATATATAATATCAAGCTATTTATAATAATCTGGGGTAAAATACTTATTGTTAATACTATTTAATTTAAAATTTAATCAGTAAAAGGTGTAATTCAGTTCTGCCCATCGAAAAATTGTTCAACCAAGTAACTTCGTAGCTCATTTTTAAAACGTTCCAAATTGAAACTATGATATTTTAACCATTCTGGCAAACTGTTCCATAAACAAGCAGCTCGGTAGCGAAAAGAACGTTGTCTGGTCGCTGTCCTATATAAAGGTATTTCCAATAATCCGTTAGATCTTGTGTTCAAATTATGTAATTGTGATCTTGTTTGAAGCATACGGCATAAATATGATGGGACCATACCATTAACACATGTATAAACCATTACAGTATCTCGGAATCGCAACATATAATTGACTGGTAATCAGTTAAGCTGTTTTAAGGATGGCGTGATGTGATCAAAGATGGCGTGATGTGATCGGTTGTTGACAAGTCTGGGACAAGTTGTTGTCATCTTGTAACAAGGTCGATGAGGTCAAGAAACTCGCAACAAGTTGTTCCAACAAGTCTGATATCGTCTGTACGTCACAAGTTGTTAAGCCCTGGGCAAACTAGGAAACATTGTTGCGGAAACATTTGTGATTCTCGATGTTTCCTCAAATGTTTCCATGTTTACCCACCCGTGGAAACATTGTTGCGGAAACAAAATTTGCTTCCCGGGAAGCAAAAATGTTTCCTACCAAATTCAGAAACATTTGATGTTTCCCTATGTTTCTCACTAATGTTTCCTAGTGTTTGCCCACTCTGGGAAACATGGTGAAACATTGGTAGGAAACAATGTTTGCGCAACAATGTTTCCTAGTTTGCCCAGGGCTTTAGAGACGTTCAGATTTGACTTCCCGACTACCGCTACCATTAAGGGATCAACAACCAATGAGATGCGTTTATATATCCGATTAACCAATCAGATGCGTGCTAAGCCATGCAGTGAGAGCTGTTGGTAGTGGAAGTCAAATCTGAACGTCTTCAATAACAAGTGGTTGACAACAAGCTCGTGCCAACTTGTTTCTGAGAGCCTGTATCAGTCTTGTTGCAACAATTGTAGAAGTCTGTTGCTGCCATCCTCCTTGTAACAAAGTGATAACAACTTGTTCCAGACTTGTCATAACAACTGGGAACAAGCAGTGCGAACGCATCCTGAAGCCGATAGGCTTCGCGACAATCTTGTTACAACTGTTTGCAGATCTGCAAAAAATTTTCGCGTTTTTACGTGTATAGTCGGCTTATCACAAGGCAATAGTCATAGGTTATAGGGGCGATTTATACAGATACAGTATATATAGGCCAGACTTTGGCTTACCAAGGAGTGTCGTTTATTTAAACGCGCTGTCTGGACCAAAACACCTCCTGTAAGAATGGTCTAGATTAAGAAGAAAAAAATGAATCCAGTTACTGTGCATGCCCAGATCAGTGAGCTCCTCCCAGTGAGCTCTAAATATACTGGAGCAAGAACTTCAGTCATTCGGTCTATATGAGCAAAGTGAAGCCAATATGGCGGCCATTGACGTCCAATAGCTCTGAAGGTCGTAAACAGTTTTTATACCATTTTCCCCCAGCTAAATTTATGCAGTTTTTTCTGACGGATCGTATCGCTAATCAAGTTATATCAATTCATAAAACCATGGCGTTATTCTTTAAATCTAAGTCAATCACTTCCGTACACTAATAGGGCTCGCACAGACAAGTTTAGCATCTTGTGTATACAGTCAACACGTTTTCCTTGACAAGTTTCCCTTTTGACAAGTTTTGTTTCTCGTGTGCACGAATATTTATTCATGCATGCAAGGGCTGTTGGATAGTTTATATAACTATCAAACAAATATAACTACTTGTCAAGGAAAATTGCTCGTCTGAACAGGGCTTGAACGTAGTACCTATACCGAACTCCGACGTTTTGAGCGAAAGCCTTTAATTAGGGAGTTTAATAGCCGGGAGTTAGTTATATGATGCTCGAGGCAATCGCGTATAATTCTCGAGCGACCGCGTCGAACAGCCAAAGCAGCAATATATAATTGCTATAAAGTACATCGCACAATGTCCCTGGCAACACGTAGAGTCAGAAAAGCACCGCGACTGAAATGTGATCAGATCACCTAAGACAGCTTTGGGTTCACATAGTGCGAAGCCTTACCGGTATTCCAGCCCAATATTGACAAGTGTTAGACCCAAAACCACGATGAACTTTCAACTCTCCAGTTAGAATATTTCTTATCTTTATGCCTGATGCCAAAATGAAAATACCAAAACAAAACACCAAGAAGCCCGCTAGACCGATAAGAAAATGTAGCTTTGTTCGAAGGTAGTTAGCCATATTCAATTTCCGGCTCTTCTATTACTCGATATATTAACTGTTTTCTCAATTTGCCAGTAAATACGCTGTAGTTTGTCTGCGGTTACAGTATGCCGGCGAGGTCATGCTAAGTACTTCAGACTTATTTGAATAAACAAGTGGTTTTAACCTTTGTTTTAACCAATCAATGTGCGGCAGACAGCAGTCAATCAATGACTGTTTCCCTTTTCTTCCGTTATTTGCTGCTGCCGATCGAGTAAGTAGCCCTATTAGCGTAAATTCTAACAGAGTAACAGCCCCGAGCCCGAGTCAAACGCCCGTGTCGCGTAAAAAAAAGACGAAAGTGAAGAAAATTCACAGTCGAATAGGGTTAGGAGTAGGTCAGAGGGAGTAGGTTTAGGGTTAGGGTACTAAGTCATTTTATCGACAAAGACAGTTCAACAGTGACTCGGACATTTGACTTGAACTCGGATTTGAGTCGGTCAGTAACCGACAAACTCCGAAATTGAATAAAATTCACAGTTGAATAGGGTTAGAGTAAGTTAGGAGTGGGATTATGGTTAGGATTAGGGTACTAAGTCATTGAAGTGCAAAGACCATCGATTAAACTATGACTCGGACATTTGACTCGGGCTCGGATTTGGCTCGGACTCGGATTTGACTCGGTTAACCGACAAGCTCAATTCTAACAGGCAGCTTGCCCTGAAATGGCGAGATATATGGAAAATAAAATGGCGACATTGAGCACAAACTCTGTCAGCGAGTCAGCGGATATGGAAAAAGAGGAAAAGCATTTCTTAAGCGACATAACAATGATTTTATGAAGCGGCGACCCCAACAGGGCCTCCTTATTGTGAACCCTATATAATAGCACAGCGAGGCGCAAAAGTTTGACGTGCTATGGTTTCTCCAGAGTCCACTCGGCCCAGTCTTTCGCGCGGTAAAATAATAATTCGAATGAATTTAAACAGGATATCCTCTCCATGCAGTATTGGAAACTGCTATCAATGAGGGGCCTGTGTAGAATAGAATACAAAAATATATATGCAAACAAAGTACATATAGGTATATACTATACATATTAGAAATATCTATTTGCCACTGTACATTTCGAAAATATCCATTTAGTGTTTCGTAGAATTGTTAATAAACTTATTAAAAATCTTTAGTCAATCTCTAAAAATCTAAAATCTCTAGAGTCCACTCGGCTCAGTCTTTCGCGCGATCTATCTATTGTGCAGTCTGTTTGCATGTCTGTCAATTTTGCTTCTAGTACGTTTGTAAAATGTACTGTTCAGTTGGAGTCAGTTGGGAAGTGCATGAAGCATTTCTCAACAAAGTACAGATCATTATACCAGAAAGCTTCGGATTGATAGGTCTTTAACTTATTACTTAACTTCTTTATTAACTTTTATTAACAATTGTTTATTAATTTATTTACTTGTTAACCATCATCATTTGTATATATAGTGACTGACTAGGAAACCACAGCAGCTTTTGCCAAATACTGTGGCCCCAATAGACCCTTTGCACATGACGTCACAGCGCCGGTGTTGAAATGGTTCATTTTTGGGCTGTATGTGGTTGTTGTACCCGAACATATATTGTTAGGGAGCATCTGGAGGACACTCTAAGGATTTGTGACGTCAGTGCAAAGGGTCTACAGACCTTTCCGGTAATTACGTCACAACTACACTGCATGTTTTCAACTTAGTACCACCTTAAATGGAATCGATTTCAAGTTTGTTTCTCATGGGCTACGGTCAGAGGAGCAGAACATCCTTCTTCACTAATGCATAAAAAAGAATTTGGAGTTTGACTATTAAATCGCTACCATTAAGGAACCATTAACCAATCAGATGCGTTTAATATATCCGATTAACCAATCAGATGCGTTTAATATATCCGATTAACCAATCAGATGCGTTTAATATATCCGATTAACCAATCAGAGGCGTTTAATATATCCGATTAACCAATCAGATGCGTACTAAGTCAGTGAAAGGTAGCGGTAGTGGAAGTCAAATCTGAACCTCTCTATTACAAAAAAAAAGTAACTTATATATATATATACGCATTACCAAAACACATCAATTATAAATTTCCAATGAAATTTGGTGCGATCACACAGAAGAGTTTAGTCAGCTTTTAGCATTAATTTTACATTGGATGTAATGGTATTGCGCTTTGATCGTATTGAGAATTCCAAGTCCGCTGATATTGTTCCGTGGGCGCTGCGACATATCTTTCCTGCTGCAGTGGAGGAACTTCATGTGACGCCTGTTGGTCATGTGGCATTTCCTGAAAATATTACAAAAAAATTTATGAGTGAGTACTGTAGAATATGCATTCAATCTTATTGACAGGGCTGGATAAAATTTCTTATTTTCTGTGACCACTATAGGGGACATGAAAAATTTTCTTTGAGCTTTCGACCGAAAATTTTAGCCACCTTTATAAGTGAATTTCTCCAATATCTGTAACGCCATACGCCCAGTCTTGGAAGAACAATTTAGAACTGATACAACTATCCAATATATATTTGTGAAACTCATTATAATAATTCATGAAAGAAACAAAGAAATCATGACCGTGGAGGAGTTTGTATTTCTGATACAAAATTATGCTGATTTACATAAACTTTATGTTCAATTTTCTCACCAAATATCATTCGTTTATTTTAAATTGTTGAAGAATGCGATTGTTCCCATCAAGACAGCATTTGCGTCCGTGTTGTATCGGATATACAAACTCTCGTGGCTCGAGTTTGTATATCCGATACAACCCGGCCGCTCGTGTTGTAAATAGTACCTAAAGTAATTTCATTTTGACTTCAGTGCCTGAAAATATGAACAACTATAAAACTAACATATTTCTTACCGGTACAACAAACAAAATCCAATCTGCAAACAGTAGCAGCATGACGAAGGAACACAGCACCAACACAATAACAGTTATGAATATCAACGTAAAATACCAGGGATAAGCTTCTTTGAATATGGGACAATCGTTCTTCTCCGTACCTCCTCGAGCGTTATTATCTCCGCAGAATGACTCATCTGACTTGAAATCTCCATGTATAGCTGTAGCATCGTATCCTTCTACTATAATCACTCCCAGTGCTAGGACCATCGTAATCAGTACACAGCAAAGGCTGATGTATTTCTGGAAAAATAATCAGTTAAAACAACTAAATACTAAATTCTTAGAAACACGTAATACAACGTAACACTATATTTTTGGAAACTTTTGTGGAATTGAGTCGTCTTGGACTATTAAACTGTTCCCACTGCCTGTTCCCAGTTGTTGACAAGTCTGGGACAAGTTGTTGTTATATTGTAGCAAGGTTGATGAGGTCAACAGACTCCTAACAAGTTGTTCCAACAAGTCTGATATCGTTTGTACGTCGCAAGTTAGAGAGGTTCATGCAGATTTGACTCCATTACCGCTACCACTAAGGGATCATTAACCAATCAAATGCGTTTATATATCCGATTAACCAATCACATGCGTACTAAGCCAGTGAGAGCTGTTGGTAGTGGAAGTCAAATCTGAACCCCTCCATGAATAACAAGTGGTTGACAACAAGCTCGTAGCAACTTGGAACAATTGTATCAAGTCTGTTGCTGCCATCAACTTTGTAACAGGGTGATAACAACTTGTTCCATGCAGACTTGTCATACTCACAACTGGGAACAAGCAGTGCGAACACATTTTGAAGCCGATAGGCTTTCCAACAACCTTGTTATAACTGTTTGCAAATCTGTAACAACCTGCGTGTTTTTACGAAGTGTAGTCGACCCATCACAACCAGGTGATCTCGTGTTCGTATTTTAGCCAATCAGCACTCAGAAAGGGTTGTCCGAATAGAAATCCATTTTGATGTATTCAGTCAATTATATCTTTCGTTATTCTTTATGAAACTAGTTGAAATTTTGTAATTATGTTTGGTTATGAGAACTATAGCTCTGACAAAAATATGGAATCGAAATAAAGTATATTACAGGAGATATTCAGTTGTTTTATTCATAAAATGGATTTCTATTTGACAACTAGTGCCAGTACTTTTCCGCGTATCAAGATCATCTTGAAGGCAATAGTCATATTATAGGGGCGATTTATACACTATATAGGCCAGCTGGCTTTCGCTTACCAAGGACTGGCGTTTATTTAAACGCGCTGTCTGGAACAAAACACCTCCTGTAAGAATAGTCTAAATTAAGAAAAAAAATGAATCCAGTTACTACGCATACCCGGATCAGTGAGCTCCGCCCAGTGAGCTCTATATATATCTGGAGCAAGAACGTCAGTCATTCGGTCTATAAGAAAAGTGAAGCCAAGATGGCGACCCCATTGACGTCCAATAGCTCTGAAGATCGTAAACAGTTTTTATACCATTTTCCCTTTTTTTTATACCATTTTTATACCATTTTCCCGGCTCGTGTTCGCGCGCTTTTCTTAACTCGAGCAACATTCCCAATTCAAAATGACTGAATAACGGCCAACTTCGCAGGGCTATATTATCCGCATTTCACAACATTTCGCAACGAAACTTCGGAATATGACTAATTTTGTAATGCTTTTTTAAGCTGTGAAGAAATTTTTGTCTACGGACTTGTCTAGATCAAAATTTTGTTCATAAAGAAATAGGTCCATTAATAGGGCTCGCACAGACAAGTTTAGCGTCTCGTGTGTACAGTCAACACGTTTTCCTTGACAAGTTTCCCTTTTGACAAGTTTTGTTTCTCGTGTGCACGAATATTTATCCATGCATACAAGGGCTGTTGGATAAACCCATAGTATTTCTTGTACACTTGTCAAGTTTTTCTTGGCGGCCGTACGCACGAACAAATTTTCCTTGTCCAAAACTGAGCTGGCATGCCTAGCTTTGGAACATGTCTCCTCGGCAAGGAAAAATTGTTAATATTTTGCCCTACACACGAGCAAATATAACTTTACTTGTCAAGCCGAAAATTGCTCGTCTGAGCAGGGCTTGAACGTAGTACCTATCGAACTCCGACGTTTCGAGCGAAAGCCTTTAATTGGGGAGTTAGCCGGGAGTTAGTTATATGATGCTCGAGACAATCGCGTATAATTCTCGAGCGACCGCGTCGAACAGCCAAAGCAGCAATATATAATTGCTATAAAGTATATCGTACAATGTTCCTGGCAACACGTAGAGTCAGAAAAGCACCGCGACTGAAATGTGATCAGATCACTTCAGACAGCTTTGGGTTCACATAGTGCGAAGCCTTACCGGTATTCCAGCCCAATATTGACAAGTGTTAGACCCAAAACCAACAAAATATTCCAACTCTCCAGTTATATTTTTTATTTTTAGGGCTGACGCCAAGATGAAAGTACCAAAACAAAACACCAAGAAGCCCGCCAGACCGATAAGAAAATGCAGCTTTGTTCGAAGGTAGTTAGCCATGGTCAATTTCCTCTTCTATTACTCTGTATAATGTTTTCTCAATTTGCCAGTAAATATGCCGTACTAGTTTGTCTGCGGATACCGGTATGCGAGGTCATGCTAAGTACGTACTTGAGCCCACTTATTTGAATAAACCTGAGTGTTTTAACCTTTGTTTTAACCAATCAATACGGCAGTCGATCTTTGAAATGGTCCCCTATTCGTCCGTTATTTGCAGCTGCCGAGTTCCAAAATGTAGCCCGAAACAAAATTTCTAGAGCAACAAATAACAATGTTTTTATGAAGCGGGCCGCCTTATTGTAAGGCTATATAATAGCACAGCGAGGCGCCATAGTTTGACATACTATGGTTTCTCCAGAGTCCACTCGGCCCAGTCTTTCGCGCGTTCTATCTATTGTGCAGTCGGTTTGGATGTCTGTCGATTTTCCGGGGAATAATTAAGCCTCTAGCACGTTTGCAAAATGTACTGTTCGGTTGGGAAGTGCATGAAGCATTTCTCAACAAAGTAGAGATCATTATAATCAGAAAGTTTCGGATTGATAGGCCTGCAACTTATTTATTATTTAAATTATTTATTAACTTTTATTAACTAAAATTTATTAATTTATTTACTTATTAACCATCGTCATTTGTATGCAGCTATTTCAATTAAGGTTGTCCACGAGCAAAGCGGAAAAGTCGAATACGAGCGCGAAAGGCTGCTGGGAATCGCTAACAAATTAACTATGAATTTTCAAAGCGATTCCCAGCAGCCTTTCGCGCTCGTATTCGACTTTTCCGCTTTGCTCGTGGACAACCTTAATTGAAATAGCTGTATACAGTGACTGGCTTGGCCTCAATAGACCTTTCCAGTAATTACGTCACAACTACACTGCATGTTTTCACCTTAAGGTGGCTCGATACAGTTATTACGAAAACCCTGCTCAAGAATCACGAACTCAAAACCGGGTGACCATTTTTACGCGCAGGTCGCGAAAACTGATTAACAAAATGAAAGAACTTCCAAAATGACCTGACGTCAGCAGTTGCTCGCGCCATATCACGCCATTGCGCGTGTTCTATAGCGTTTTATGTCGATTGCTGACGTCATTAGAATTTTCCATTTTAGAAAAACAATGCGCTATATCTCTTTATTTTGTCTGGTGACCTATGTTCAAATTTTGCATGCTGTATTGCACCGCTAAAAACTTTCATTATACAAAAAATAAAAAATTCTTTAATGCAAAAAAAATTTTAACGAAGAATATGACATTTTCGCATTTTCCAAAAAATAGCATTACAGAATTTTTTTATATTTTGCTATATATTTGCTTTTCGTCCAAGTACAATAATGCACGAAAAAAAATTGGGGGTCACCATGCTTCTTTTCCAACTATACGAGACGATAGGTCATTTTGGAGTGAATTTCGTACACGTATGTCGTCATAGCAACGAACTATTTGTTACTAAAACTAATATAATTTGAAAGTAGAGTTATCAAAATATATAAAAAAAACCCAATATCTGCTGAATAAATCCTAAAAATGCGTAATTTGAACATGTCAAAGTGTTAAACACCTGAATGTTTGAAAACTGTATCGAGCCACCTTAAATGGAATAGATTTCAAGTTTGTTTCTCATGGGCTACGGTCAGAGGAGCAGAACATCTTTCGTCAACACATGCATAAAAAAGAATTTTGGATTAAAATGTGGAAATAAGCTTAAACACGAAAACGAGGCTGAGGGGCCATGGCCATTCGTTTTCGTGTTTTGGCTTACACTGTATTTCCACATTTATTGGTCAAAATCCAGAATTCTTTTTTATCCATGTGTAATTGAAGAAGGATGTTCTGCTCCTCTGACCATAGCCCGTGAGAAACGAACTTAATCCATTCCGTTTAAGGTGGTCGTAAGTTGAAAACAGTGTTAATCGTGATGTAATTACCGGAAAGGTCTATAATACAGAAACAATTTACAAAGTACAGTTATTACACACACAATATAAACAGTACTTGGACAATAGTCATTTACAGAAAGTCTAGAAACAGCATGCCAAAGGAGGTTTCATCAGACTGAGTTTGAATGGCCAGTCTTTGGACTGGATCAAAATTAACCGTCACCTCATTTATTCGTATGAGATGTTATTTCAAATCCTCCAATAGACGATTCCCCTTATTACGTTTTCGTAGCGCTTTGCATTGTGGTTATAGTGGTATCACTGATGAAGATAGCGCCCTCGAATAAAAATATTGAATGTTTTCGCGAATATTTTGCTGTTGAATATCGTGCACCTGACCCTAGCTTTTTTAAAACTTCTTGCACGGGTCTGGACAAAAAGTAAGCCATCTTGAATATCAGTGATACCACTATAACCACAATGCAAAGCGCTACGAAAACGTAATAAGGGGAATCGTCTATTCGGACTGGACTAGATTTGATCAAATTGCGCGTGATCCACATGCACGAGGGATGTCGCGAGACTTTCGGAAAGCGTAAAAGTAATGGATCACGCTATCCTGCTTGAAAAACCATTTGGTAATTGTTTTATAAAATAACTACAGTGAAACAATGACATTTTGAGAATCCCGCGAAAATCCCGCGAAAATCCCGCGAAGGCATTTTAATTCCTCGTGCAGGATAGCCTGATCCTGCACGGCTATTGACCAATCAAATTGCGTGTTTCACTGTAGCTATTATATAAATCTAGATCTTGTCCATGAGTCCTCATATATAGTCGGATTTGAAATATTAGAGAGTAGCACTACCGCTACCATTAAGGAACCATTGACCAATCAAATACATTGGAACTATCCGATTAACCAATCAGATGCGTTTGATATATTCGATTAACCAATCAGATGCGTACTAAGTCAGTGAAAGGTAGCGGTAGTGTAAGTCAAATCTGAACCTCTCTATTACAACAAACATAACTTATATATGTATACGCATTACCAAAACACATCAATTATAAATTTCCAATGAAATTTGGTGCAATCACACCGGAAGAATTTAGTCAGCTTTTAGCATTTACATTGGATGCAATGGTATTGCGCTCTGATCTTGTTGAGAATTCCAAGTCCGCTGGTATTCTTCCGTGGGCGCTGCCACATATCTTTCCTGCTGCGGTGGAGGAACTTCATGTGATGCCTGTTGGTCCTGTAGCATTTCCTGAAAATATTACAAAAAAATTTATGAATGAGTACTGTAGAATATATATTCAATCTTATTGCCAGGGCTGGATAAAATTTCTTATTTTCTATGACCACTAGGGGACATGAAAAATTTTCTTTCGACCGAAAATTTTAGCCACCTTTGTACGTGAATTTTTCCAATATCTGTAACACCATACTGGGCGTCTTGGAAGAACAATTTAGAACTGATACAGCTATCCAATATATATTTGTGAAACTCATTATTAAGAAAATCATGATAGGAGTTTATATATCTGATACAAAATCATGCTGATTTACATAAACTTTAAGTTCAATTTTCTCACCAAATATCATTTATTTATTTTAAATTGTTGAACAATACGAATGTTCTCATCAAGACGTTTCACAAGCCATTTACAATTAACATTCGCGTCCGTGTTGCATCGGAGTTTGTCTTACCGGTGCAACAAACAAAATCCAATCTGCAAACAGTAGGAGCATGACGAAGGAACATAGCACCAACACAATATCAGTTATGAATACCAACATAAAATACCAGAGATATGCTTCTTCGAGTATGGCACAATCGTTCTTCTTGGTATTGGACCAGCCTCGTTTGTTAGCATCTCCGCAGGTTGATTCATCATCTTTGAAAAGTCTATGTGTAGCTGTAGCATCGAATGCTTCTACTATAATTACTCCCAGTGCTAGGACCATCGTAATCAGCACACAGCAAAGGCTGATGTATTTCTGGAAAAAGTAATTAGACGTAAAACAACTAAACACTAAATTCTTAGAAACACATAAAACAACTTAACACTATCTTCTTGGAAATTGCTGTGGGATTGATTGGTCTTGGACTATTAAACTGTTCGCACTGCTTGTTCCCAGTTGTTGACAAGTCTGGGGCAAGTTGTTGTCATCTTGTAACAAGGTTGATGAGGTCAACAGACTCGCAACAAGTTGTCCCAACAAATCTGATATAGTTTGCACGTATCAAGTTGTTAGAGAGGTTCATGTACTATTTAAAGCACGCGTAGGAGTGATTTATTAAAAAACGGCTCATCGTATATGAGTTCATTGGCGAAGTAATTTTTAAAATAAACTTTGTCTAAACCGAGAAAATCAAAGCTAAAGTTTATGTAAATTAACATGATTTTTTATCACATATAAAGATACGACACGCTTATGATTTTTCTTTGTGTTTTCCTCCTGAATTATTAATGAGTTTTTTAGGCAGATTTGACTACCGCTACGATTAAGGCGGTTTTCCACTAGACGAAATTTTTCGACCGAATCGAAATTTTGTTTTGTCTGACAAGCACTCAGATGGAACTAAACAGAAATCTTCTGAATTTGAACAATAGAAATTTCGATTCGATCGAAAAATTTCGCCTAGTGGAAAACCGCCTTAAAGGGATCATTAACCAATCAAATGCGTTTATATATATCCGATTAACCAATCAGATGCGTACTAAGCCAGTGAGAGCTAGTGATAGTGTCAAATCTGAACCTCTCCAATAGATAGCTTAAGATCTACGACGTCGACGTCAGCCTAGGACGTCAGGGCTAAGAAGAGGACTGGGACTAGGACATCGTCCTAAATAGGTCGATAGCATTCTCGTACCCAGAGCCCTTCTTACGCGCGGTACGACGAGGGGCTCTGGCCAAATCCATAACCGGATACCATAAAAACATGGTAAGAAAGCAATGTCTGGTGTTAGAACTAGCCAATCAGATGCCAGTTCGGAATATGGATTT